ATCCTCCCCCCCCCCCCCCCGCAGGTGATACATGATGACCGTTTCCTAAAAACGGCTATCAGTATTGTACCCTTAATCATCTTAACAAGTCCTATTTTAAACAAATAATACAAGTAAACTATGATACGTTAGGGTACGTTTCTTTACTAAACTCTGAGATCGGATCAAAAATCCGAATCATTAAGAGTTTTCTTTAAGAAAAGAAACGATGTATCCAAAAAAGGATTATTTTTCATTTATTTCCGTAAAAACGACCCACAATCTCGACGGCATCCCAGAGAAAGAATAATATGGTTGCTAATAATATGGCAATTTATTGTATTCTAGACGGTTAGCTCGAGGATACTGCTTTTGGTTATAAACCAGGAAAACATCTCCCTCAGAAGGTTTATCTCCCAGCTTCCATGTTTTTCTTGAACATTTATAAGCTTCTATCAGCTTTCAGTAAATAGTCGCTTCTCCAAGGAGATTTAGTAAGAAATTCATTGATATAAAGTAAACAAAAGTTAGAATTAATACTATTTTGAGTGAAACCTTTTCTACTGTCCCAATAACTTCAGCTAATTATACATGGTTTTGATTAGTTCCGAGTTGGTTTAATCGGCTTACCCTTGAAAAGCTAAAAAGCAGCTATGGGCCGTGTATCTATTCACTCCCCCATCCCCCAATGGGTGACTGAAACAAGTCGAAATGTTTCTATAGTCACAATCGAGAATCAGATCATAGTCACCAGGAGAACTGTTCGTTCCGGCCTCCTAAGGACTATCACTACTGCCAAGTATTGAACCAATGGTGGACAACCCTGTTCCAACGACGTTTGCCCCAATATTAGCCAATCCCGCGACGCCGGTACCTACAACCTTTTACTCCGACATTCGCTAATCCCGCCACGCGGGTTCCAATTGCTTGCGCCCCTGCGTTTGCGAACCCAGACACTCCGGTGCCAATTGCTTGCGCCCTTACGTTTGCGAACCCAGACACTCCGGCGCCAATTACTTGTGCCCCGGCGTTCGCCAACCCGGTGACTCTGGTGCCAGCGACGTTCGCGCTGGTGTCAGTCAAACTGATGACGCTTGTCCCAGTGACGCTCCCCCCGGTTCTTGTGATCAGCCCAAAGCTTTCCAAAAGATCTTTAATCCTTTCGGCCGATCCCTTTAGTCGCGCTTCAAAATCCTTGAACACTACTATGCGCTCATTTCCTGATTTGTTTTCGCAGAAGACCAACAACTCTGCAATATTGGTGGACTGCCACTCCCTCAACAAATTGTCCTCCATCTTTTCACAAGCCCTCCATCCTTCCAGCCGCACATCGCTTTCATCGTATGAAATCCGTCCACGGTGCAAACGGGTCTTAAGGACTAAAGTGAAATCTTTAGGGTTTATGGGACGCTCTGCATGGGTCGACACTCCCCGTTTGTAGGCATTTCAATTGAGCCTGCAGGAGCTGGAAGAGGCTGCGATCGACGAAAAACTGAACGTTTAGTTTTACTGTTCCTATTCCACCAAAAAATTAACCCTTTCTCGCCTATGAGCTCTTCAATTCGTGCTGTGATGCTTTCTTCTTCCCGCTGAGAAGTTTTACCTCCTCCATTAGTGCAGAGGATCACAACAATCACTGTAACGAAAGGGAAACTGTTTTTAGTTTTTCCCTTGTTGGTTGTCGGACCTTGCGTTAAATACGAAGCGAATATGACCCACAATGATCTTTATAGCAGTATTTATAGCAGAAAGGCTGTGAAACAGGGCAAATAACTGAAACAAGAAGTTTAAGTAACACACAAATCCATGTTTTCTACCGGCAGTTGGCTACTTACAAGCGTGGCCGAGGAGTTTAAGTCGGGACCAAAAAAAAAAATTCAAGATGCATTAGGTACAACTGAGACGTGTGGAGACAAAAAGGCGAAAAAATATTCTTACCCACAGTCCAACTGGCACCTTTCAATAGGTCTTGAGACATATCATGCTCGTTCCGATAAAGGATCGCTATGATTTCCCGTAAAGACGGTGGACTTGTATCCGTTGCTTGCTTCTGGGTTGTTGTAGGTTCTGATATGGGCAAAGAATATTACACCATGAGGTCCATGAGAACAGGAACAGTATCCCGTTACTGCGCATACACCAAACTTTGATTTTTGGACAGGATGTCGCGAAATCAAAAGATGCGAGAAGAGCAAGAGAACCCTGAAAAATCCGTTTGCATCGCGCTTGGCCGAGTTCAATACTACACTAAAACTTCTCAGGATTACAGATCAATGATGTATTGTTCCCGTTAAGTTTCGATTTGGGCGAAATCTGGATTTTTTGGCGTTGCTTTTATTGCCGTTGGCCGGAGGACCAAAAGATTGGAAGTTCTTTGATGCTGATTGAAGGCTTATTTCTTCTGCCAGCTTCCATACGAGCTCAGATAATTGTGAAAGGAATACACAGAAATGAAACAGCAACAATAAAGACTGTAAGAAAGAAACCATTGAGACATTGATGTGTCTGAGGAGATCTTATGGAAGGGGAGCTTCGTGAAGCAGAATGTTTTGCAACGACGCGTTAGTAAACTTTTTAATGAAGCTCCCTACGGCCGACAAAATCAAACAAATAGGCGCTACATGTTTAGAAAAACTAGTACCATGAAATCATAATAGAATTTTTGACTAACCTTTGCGATGATTCATAGCGTTGAGATTGTATTTTTATTTATGTCTTTCAAACGTTTGAGGCTAGAACCCCGGGGCTAGAACGCGAGCTAATCAGGCAAATATTACTGGACTTGGAACAATTGACTTCTGACACGAGTTTCTCAATAGAAAAGCTGTTTTGAAAGCGACCACAACGAGATTTTCGGGTCGCGAGGCGGCCCTGCTAGCGACAAAATCGCGATGAGTCTTCGTGCCGGGAGCCAAATTTTAATTAAGACGAAAGATTTCTTTGAAAGTCTAAAATATTACTTGAGAATATAAACAACAAATCTCTGTCAGCGGTGCGGTCCGGAAGGAAATCTTGTCGAGTCAATATGACAAATTTATTGTCTTTTGAAGAAAAAAAGCAGAAGACGCTCGCGCGTGCGCATAATCGGGACACTGTCCCTTTAACATGTTCAGAATAAACGTTTTTAGTGCATACTAAAACAGTGGATAACGTTTTTCGCTCTGATTAGCTGGCCAAACTCGGGAAATCCAGTACTATTAGAGACATTAAGATCGAGGTTTGGTCATTTTACTGCAAAAGACAAACTTTGGTATGCGGTTAACGGTTTCGTTACCCGTCTGCCCATATTTGGCACTTAAGGTTTGTGGGTGGTAGCTCGCGGCTGTCTCGTTTGTTTTCATTCATCCACTTACTTTTATTTTAGCGGAGAAATTGTCTTCAAAATTACGTCTTTTGAAGTAGGATTCGATAATCAATAAGCAAAAGATTTCTAAAAAGTTGTATTTCCTCTCAAACCAGCTGGGATTGTGGTGTTTTAGGGTGCAAAAAACCTTGCAGTAAATCACTTACCTCTGGAGCGTGGTCTAGCCGTACAAACGTGAACCTCGAACCGCAAATCCGACGGCAAGACACTGGTCACGTGACATCTTGACGTTCGTAGTTCGCGGGAAATGCCGAAAAACCTCAATCTTACGGTCTCTATTCACCCCCAGCCGACGCCAAACACAGTGGCGAAAGTTAGGAGCAAAATGTCTTCCCGGTTTGCTACCGTAACAAACGAAGAAATTTCACAAATAATCGGAGAAGCTGTTTCCGATAAACAGGAAGAAGGTGACAAAATTCGGTTTAGAAGTTTTTACATTTGTCTGTTTAACCTAAAATTATCGATGAAACCGGTGAAAAAAATTTTTTGTTTAAAAACGCACATTAAGTCTTGCGCTACTTTATTTAGCTAACATATACATTAAACTAAGTTGCGTATACAGGATGGTTTCATATTATACAACTGTCCCCGAGGGGGAGCTGAATAGTGGTAGTGAATACCGTATTTATTCGAATAAGCGCCCAACCTCGAATTAAAGCCCACCTCGAATAAGCGCCCACTCTCAAGGTCCAAAAATAAATACGGTAATTATTTTATATTATATATTTTGAGGGCATTGAGATGTCGTATTTCGACTATTTCTCTATTTCTCTTTTGAAACATTTGCACTGAGTTCCCTTTACCTGGTACATCAGCATGGGTTATTTTCTCGAAGTCCTCGAACGCTACATTTGACTCATCCCTGTGCTCATCTTCTCTCTGCTTTAAACCAGGGTTTGGCAGCAATTCCATGCTGAGAGGTGCCTTAGCATCCTCCATTTGAGGAGTCTGCTGCAGATCCCTCTGTACTCCAGTTCGGATCTTGTTGGAGAAATTTTCCTCTGCCTCTGTCCCACTGCGCTTCACACTGATCTCTCTTCTTTCTATATACTCTCGACTTCCTAGAACGTTAAGACAACCCATAAAGGATTACGACTTACTGACAAGGAATCAAAGAATTATTGAATCTTAAACACGTTTTACTTTACGTTTAATTTTGAGTAATTTTTTTCCCTTTCAGTCGATCGAAAAGGCGAGCTGTCAACGCGAGAGCAGAGTAAGCGAATGAAGCGTTGTAGAGAAGACACAATTCCAGCTCCCTCAACTCTGATCAGTCCATTCTCGCTCGCTCGAAATATAATCGTTTGCGGTATAACTTTCCCGAGGGACTGCGGAGTTAGAAGCTGGAGTGAGTGTGCCGGGGAATAGCCTATGAACTGGTTCTATAGGACGTAGCAAAGGCTAGAAAGCACAGGCTACTCAGTGAGTGCAGGCGTATAAACTTCACATACGAGCCACAGTCTCTTTCTGATCCCCAACAAATCCCTCTAGCGTACTGAAGAGCACGCTAATACTGGAAATGTATAAGTTCATACTAAACTAGACAAATAAGTTATCAGAACATGAGATTGTAATTATGGGTTCTTGATAAGATAAAAAGACTATCTGGTTACTGAACAATAACTATTACAGAGTTAGTAACATTCTGATTTCCTAAATTCGTAAAAACGAGGTGATATGTTTGTTCCAAAATGTACGCAAAATCATCAGTCGTCAGTTTTAAGTATCTCGAAGTACCACTGAATGGAGTTTTTTTCAAAATAGTGTTGCCAAAATTTCACAAGGCACATGCACACCAGCAAACCTGTTTGGGGAGCACTTGAGTGTTCGCTACTTCAGTTTTCTTTTTGGCAACAATTTTTTTTTCCTTTTTATCAGGATCAAAGTAATGCAACAGAGCTTCTTCGTGAATTGGTTTGTGACCATCGTCCCAAGAAAAGATAAAGCTCTGCCTTCCATCCAAGTATTCTTCGCTGAACAGAGAAGAAACTTTTCTCCGAGCCCATCGCGACAGGAAAGAACCTTGTTCCTCAGCAGAGTCCTTGTAGTTGTCATCACCACCGATAACAACGAGTACTTTTCCTCCTATAACTCAATAAAAGAAGTTAAAATTCCTTTATAAATCGGGACTTTTATATTTTTGCATTGCAAGTAAGTATCGTGCTCAAGGAATCCAGAATTTTAGAATCCAAGTTCCATTATCAAGACCCTATCAAATAAACCGAAATCCATGGCAAGGAATCCAGAATCCAAGACTGTCTCAGATTTCCTTATATGGGGTGATATATATTTTACAATGCAACTGAACATGGTAAACACCTGCTTTACTCTGCTGTGTTTCTCGCTATTCCTTTGTTTTTGGTTAAATTTGAAAACGAAATCAAAGGACCTTTTCCCCTTTTTCTCATTTTTAAGAAATCACTTACTTATTTTACAACATGAATTGATCAACAATGCCATCATGTCGTGAAAGATATTCATCATGGTATTGGTATAAAAGAGTTTGCTTGTCCCACGATTTTCACATAGTTATTGATCGCGACTTTCAGGTTGAAAAATTCACTGTGGGTGGTTTATATGATGGTAGATCGATTGAATATTGGGCTTGTTGTTTTACACATAGACGACAAACCAGTACTACTTTAGAACTTACCTGTGGCGTTCAATAAAGCTCTGTAAATCCTCGCGCTGTCTTCATTGATTAAAAATCGATCTTCGTTCGCATGGACGACAAATATTGCAAAATCCATTGGCAAATCGGGAATAATACTCTCACACATCTCTGTTGTGTCGGACAGGCTAAAATGATTCTTAAAAGCGAGCATTTTGATTCCCAGCTTTTCTTTTATGCAGGAAAGTAATTTTCCCACAACGTCCAAGTTACAAGTATTATTGCTACTGAAAATGTAGCAAAGTTTTAGCGTTCGATTCCTTTGGAAGAACCGAATTCGTTGCATTGTATCAGGCATGTCTGATTTTGTTTTGGAGTCTAAGCTTGGTTCGCTTTCCAAGAAACGTTCAATCTCGTTCCTAAGGTCCTCTCAATGTGGCGACGGTATGAGTCTTTATACTTCCGCTGTCATATTGGAATACCTAAAGAGGCTTTATGACGTGGTTTGAAATTGCTTTGTTCTTATTCAGCGGCGTCACTGACAACACTGCACAAAAGATAATTATATCCACTCGTACTGATGGACTGGTTTTCTGTCTCACACACAAGGTGGAATTTGTTTTTCTGTCATAGGTACACAAAGAGCAACAAAGTAGACCACGGGGATCCTTGAATCACAACAGCCCAGTACTGGAAGCCAAATTATAAGGATTTGTATGGGAATTTACCGTAAGATCGAAAGTATACATACCTCATAAAGAGTAGTGTCTGTGTTGTTTTCTTACTGTTTCCTGTCATCTAAAGTTCATAAACGCCGTTTTAGCAAGTTTCAATGTTTTGGTTTCTCGACTACTAAGAAGAAAATAAGGGAAAACTGGGAAAACTCGGCTTTATTACGCTGCTCGAAGAAACTGAGCTGCAAAACTTACCTTTCTATTACTCCAATAGCCCCAAATCATCGCTTGAGCAAACACATAAGATTTTCCTTACTTGAAAACGTCAATTTAATTCCAAACATCGAGCCATGGCCACAAGAGGACGAAAAATGAAGCTAAAAAATTTGAACTTAGGGCTTCCGTTGAAACGCTCTTCTTCGTGGTGAGCTACCGATTGGCTAAGTAGCCGCACCGCACGTTCAAAATCCCCTCGACGGGGACTCGTGTTTTTTCCCGCCACTTCTTTGTAAAATGAGCGAAGAATTCAGCGAATTTTTACTTCATAGCTAGATTACCAGTAATTCCAAACCAAATATGATTACATTATTAGAGCGTATTCCCAGTCCCCTACTTAGTAAGCGGAGGTTTTTGCTCATTACCTGATTTGGACTATGATTTACTTATTTGACTGAAAACAAAAAGACTGATAAGCTGATCCCACCAGAATCCAAAGTGAAAAAATCATTACAAGGTCAAGTGCTGCAAAACTACATAGTTATGAAACAAAACGATTCCATGTTTGTTTGTAGATTCGATCTAGGTTATGATAGAGGACGTCATAACGCGGTAAATTATTGATGATTAATTGCGACCTTTTTCCTCTCACGAGCATGTTGATATTAGGTGGGATCTTTGATAAATGGAACTATTTGTAAGGAAAAGAGATGCTTGACACGAGCGAGCCTTCGGCGAACGTTTTCAAGTTTATTAACTAGATGGTTCATAGTGTTTGTGAAATTACTATAAACGATGTAAATAAGGAGCTCTTCTTTTTAACTTTGGTGTTGATTCTCTCCTGATGAATTTTAACTGACACTTAATGCATGTAAATTTACATTAAATTTTGTTCACTGTAAAAAGTATTAGACCGATTACACATATTTTTGTCCACATTTTTAGCTTTTTGGTCAGGAAAACCCTCAACGACCTGATAAAAGGCGAAAGAGCTTCTTATTTTCATGGCATTTTGATCGCAATTGTTTTGATTCCCTTAAATAACACTCAAACTTGAAGATGGAGATTTTAATATAAATTTCAAGTGTTAACAACTCAACTTCTTTTTCTACTCAGCGCCAGCCCTGAGCCAAAGACATGCACTTTCACAATTTTTATGTTAATTAATATAACCATTTCTTTGGATTTAAAAAAATCAACACTTAAAAATTATGTTTGCGAGTCTGCAATTTAATTTCCCTTGCGCTGAAGCCATATAAACAGTAATGTAAGTAATCCTTTATTCTGTCAAATTTCTTTCAAATAAGTAGACTACGTGAAGCTGTTCACAAGATATTGCTCATTTACTGTCACTCCCATATACGTTCCTCTTATTCTAGTTAGGAGAGAGTGGATCACTGTCAGCAGAAGAGATATTACTACATCCATCGGGAGGACACTCTTCACTTGCAGTCGACCCAGGGGGCTCGATACCAGGCACGCTCTCACTCATTAGGTTTGACCCGACCTGCGTGATGGCACCCAAGACGTTAACCCCGACGTTACTAGAGACCTTTAGCATCAGGTAAACCGAAAACCTCAAACCGCAAACCGCAGTTACGCGTTTGCAGTTTCGCGTTGCCGAGATTTCAAACTTTAGCAAGGCGTTCAGTTCGATTTGTTCAGTTCAGTTCAGTTCACTTTTATTTAGCCAAAATACAATACAATACAAGAATACATATAGGAACGTAAGGTTGCAAGGGAGCCCAGAAGAAACCAGAAGGCTTTATGAAGCCTGAGCTCCCCAGTCTAAAAGAAATAAGCAAAATAAAATGATATTCGCGGAGTGATACGTTAAAAAAAAGGAACCAGACAGAGACTGAGTTAAGTTATGAATTTAGTAACAAGATAGAAAAAAAAAATTTAACTCTGGATTGGAACAGAATACTTTCCATTGTTAGTACGGCAGAAAGGAATATAAAATTGATTTGAACTACGCGTTCATTGTTTATGGCCGCCATGTTGTTTTCATCAAGTGGAAGTGCATCACTTTAATCGCCCAAAAATCAGCAATAATTCATTGATTCGAGATCAAAAATCCAACAAACACATCGCAAACGGATACAAAAAGCTAGTTCATACCTTTAAACGCGAGGCTGTACAATTTTTCGTGGCAAAAAACCTTGCCGTAAATCACTTACCGCTGGAAGCCCTTCCTGCGGTTCAAACGTAAACTGCAAACTGCAAACGTGACCGCAAGGCCGTGGTCACGTGACATTTTGCGGTTTGCGGTTTGCCGTTTCCCACGAAAAACCTTATGCTAAAGGTCCCTAATGACGTCTGTCCCGACCTCTGTAAAACTCGTGACCCCAGCCCCAATGGTGTTTGTCCCTTTAGCGAATCTTTCCCCGACACAGCTGGGCAGCCCAACGCGCCCTAAAGCACCTTTAAAACTTTCACTCAGTCCACTCACTCGGCTCTCCAAATCCTCAGTCACCACTGTGCGGTCATTTCCAGTCTTGTTCTCTCGGTATACTGACAACTCAACGTTGCTGATAGTGTGCCACTTTCTCAACAAATTTTCGACCATCTCCTGAGGAGCCCTCCATCCTTCCAGCCATACTTTCACGTCTTTTTCATCGTACGAAATCTTTCCAAGGCGTAATCGGGTCTTGAAAACTAAAGTAAACTCTTCAGGGTTTATGGGACGTTCTACATGCGTTGAGGGAGCAAGATCGCTAGCTGGAAGAGAGTGTGATCGACTAAAACTTGATCGCTTAGTTTTGTTTTGTTCCTTGCGCCAAAAGACTAAGCCTTTTTTGCCGAGAAGCTCCATAATTATTGCTGTGATGCTTTCTTCTTCATCAGGAGTAAGGCTTTTGCCTTCACTGCAAATGATCACAAGAATCTCCTTTTCTGTAAAGGAAAAGACAAACTGAAAATTAGTTTCTATATTTTTGACGCTAAACAAAATAAACTCTATTTACCCTCCAATGTTTTTATAATACAAAACCTTGTGAAGCAGAGCAATAAAATAACTGAAACCGATGATTCAAATCAAACATTATAGTTAGTGTTACGAAACCCATTAGGCAACGAGTCCAGCCAGGGCACACAGTGAGACCAGAACCCGGAACTACCTGGATTGCGCGTTGAGCACTCTGGTCACACAGCACCTTGAGGACCTCGCAGTCGAATGAATTTTCAACCGCTTAGTCTGTTCATCTCTACTACGATGGTCATTCACATCTTTATCCGCAGTTCAAAATATGATTCATTTCATTTCATGTTTTCATTCAGTATTTGAATATAGTAATGTGATTTCAACCATATTTTCTTTTACTTACTATACGCAGATGTATACTAGATATATATGTTATCGAAGGAACCGGTGAAAAAGTTTTTTGTTTAAAAACGCACATTAAGACCATTAAGGCTTGCGCTACTTTATTTAGCTAACGTGTACATTAAACTAAGTTAAATGCTTTTTTGTAAAGAATGGTTTCATATTATACAACTATCCCCCGAAGGGGAGGTTAACAGTTATTTATAGTGGTATATAGCAAGAAGCGAAGCGTCGACGTATATATCTAGCACTGTTCACCGACCCTGAGGGGGATAGTTGTTTCAGTATTTACCAAATCAGTTAGCTAAAAAATGAAAAAAATAACTTTTTTGTAAAGTAAAAACGTCGCTGAGTAGGAAGTTTGTTTACAATTTACGAACATTTCGGGGACTTTGTCAAGCGCGTTTTTACGGTTTTGTTGCAAATTCAGCAAGAAAATAATTTTCTACCTACCAGTAAAAACCGATAAGCTGAAGTTCGTCGCTTTCTTGGTATTTGTTAGTACGACTGCTTCATTTATCGCTCAAATTTCGTCGTCCGCAATTTCTCGAAACGAGACGCCATCTCGGCTTCGGTTTCAAAACAGCCAAGGATATTCCGAGTTACGGGAGCCAATCAAAACGCGCGAAAATTGCTATTCACTGACTTGGCCATTACTAAACAGGAATAACTCACAACCCCTTTTGAAGAGATGTCTCTATATGTGCTAAGAAATTGCCTTTATGTTGAAAGTTTATTTGTCAACAAGGCAACGTGGCGGCAGTAACTTCGGTTATTTGAGCGCCAAAATTTTAATCATTGGCAGCAATAAACGAGTTAAAATTTATCCTTTTTAAGCTCAAATATGTCAATGTTTTATTACATATCTAAAATAAATCAAATATTCACTACAGTGTCGGTGGCTATTGGAAGATATATATTGCCATATATATTTCTGAGGGCATTGAGATGTCGTTTTGCGGCTATTTCTCTATTTCTCTTTTGAAACATTTGCACTGAGTTCCCTTTACCTGGTACATCAGCATGGGTTATTTCCTCGAAGTCCTCGAACGGTACATTTGACTCTTCCCTGTGCTCATCTTCTTCCTGCAACACGAGATTGAAATTATGAGTTCTTGATAAGATAAAACGACTTTTATATCTGGTTAAACAATAACTATTACAGAGTTAGTAATATTCTGATTTTCAGTTCCTAAATTCGGGAAAACGAGGCGATATGTTTGTTCCAAAAAGTGTGCAAAATCATTAGTCGCCGAGTATATCGAAGTACCACTGAATATGGATTTTTTCAAAATAGTTTTGCCAAAATTTCACAACCTACAAGCACACAAGCAAACCTGTTTGGGGATCACTTGAGTAACCGCTACTTCAGTCTTCTTTTCGGGAACAAATTTCTTTTCCTTTTTATGAGAATCAAAGTAATGCAACAGTGCTTCTTCGTGAATTGGTCTGTGACCATTGTTCCAAGAGAAGATAAAGCTCTGCCTTCCATCCAAGTATTCTTCGCTGAACTGAGAAGAAATTTTTTTCCGAGCCCAGCGCGACAGGAAGGAACCTTGTTCCTCAGCAGAGTCCTTGTAGTTGTCATCACCACCGATAACAACGAGTACTTTTCCTCCTATAACTCAATAAAAGAAGTTAAAATTCCTTTATAAATCGGGACCTTTAGACTTTTGCACTGCACGTAAGTGTCGAGCTCAAGGAATCCCTATCAAAGAGGCCGAAATCCATGGAAAGGAATCCAGAATCCAAGACTGTTTCAGATGTCCTTATATGGGGTGATATATTTTACAATGCAACATGGTCAACACCTGATTTACTCTGCTGTGTTTCTCGCTAGTTCCTTTTTTTGGGTTAAATTTGAAAACGAAATCAAATAGCTTCTTCCCCTTTTTCTCACTGATTTTAGCTTGATTTAAGAAATCACTTAGTTATTGTACAAACCTGAAGTGATCAACAATGTCATCATGTCGTGGAAGATATTCATGGTGGTATTTGTATAAAAGCAGGGGCACCCAACGAGAATATAGTTCAAAACCACTTAAACATAGCATTGTTTAACTTATTTTCCCTTTCCGATATTAGACAGCTAGAATTGGGTAAACTTATGTTTTCTCTTAACCATTCTCTTTTGCCTTCAAAGTTCAACAATTATTTTTCTTTAAACAAACAAGTCCATAACTATGCCACTAGACACGCGAACGATTTTCACCTTCCTTCTTGTAGAACAAACCTTCGTAAATTTTCTGTCAGTTTCCAAGGACCTACTTATTATAACACTATAGAAAATGATATTAAAGAATCTAATTCTCTCCACTTATTCAAAACGAAATTGAAAAAAAAATTATATATGAATTATTAGTTATAAATCTTGTAGTAAATAGTTATATTTCTTCACATGTCTGATATTATTTTTATACTTATTGTTACTTGTACCATACCTTATATTTTGTCAACTCAGTCTATGTAATTAGTTAATTTATACTTACCTTCATTGTATTTTGCTTTCGATCCTGGCCTTACCGTTACTGTTAACTTTATTTTTACTCTGAGGGAGCCCAATGTGTATAAGCCTCATGGTTTCTTTTTGGGCTTCCTCGTCACTTTCATTTGCTTTTATGTAACTGTATTGTTTTATCGTTATTTGTATTTTGTGGTAAATCAAATAAAGTTACAAAGTTAAAAAAAAAAGTTATTTTAGTATTTAAACGGTAGATATAGGCATATTTTTATCCCCTAAAAATTTTTGATCTGTTCGGATTTCCTAGCTGAAAGTCTAGTGATCCGAAAATTATAGGGATCAAAACTTACCTTTTCGAAAATTTCAGGCAGAAAAAAGGCTCCCGAAAATTCTAGGTGAGGTTTTAACGGTAAAAATCCGTTAAAAATGGGCAATTATAGTAGTTTTTAGATGTTCGAAAATCCTACGAGAGGCAGGGAAGCAAGAAATTTTACAACAAATTTTCCGAAAATTCTAGATGTCAAATCGTCTTCCGAACAGATATTTTCCGAAAATTGTCGTTGGGTGCCCCTGTAAAAGGGTTTGTTTGTTCCACGATTTTCACAAAGTGATTGATAGCGACTTTCAGGTTGAAAAGTTCATTCTAGGTTGTTTTTTTGATGCTAGGCTGATTATCATCGATCGAATTGAATATTAGGCGTGTTGTTTTACAAATAGGTAGACGGCAAACCAGTACTACATAATATTAGAACTTACCTGTGGCCTTCCACAAAGCTCTGTAAATCCTCGCGCTGTCTTCGTTGATTAAAAAGCGATCTTCGTTCGCATGGACGACAAAAATTGCAAAATCCATTGGCAAATCGGGAATAATACTCTCACACATCTCCGTTGTATCCGACGGGCTAAAATGATTCTTAAAAGCGAGCATTTTGATGGCCTGTTTTTCTTTTATGCAGGAAAGTAATTTTCCCACAACGTCCAAGTTACAAGTATCATTGCTACTAAAAATGTAGCAAAGTTTGAGCGTCCTATTCCTTTGGACGATCTGAACTCGCTGCATTGTATCAGGCATGTCTGGTTTTGTTTTGGAGTCTAAGCCTTGTTCGCTTTCCGAGAAATGTTCAACCTTGTCCCCAGGGTCTTCTCCTATTCCAATGTGGCGACGGCATGAGTCTTCACTTCCGCTGCCATATTAAAATACTAAAAGAGCCTTTATGACGGGGTTTGAAATTGTTTTCTCTTAATTCAGCGGCGTCATTGAAACCACTGCCCATAAAAATAGTTATTTCCAGTCGTCCTAGTTGAATACACCTGTGTTCACTGAACAGAATAACTTAGTGGTTTAGTTGCTGTCTTATACAAGGTGGAGTTTTGTTTTTCTGTCAAAGGTGCGCGAAGAGCAACGAAGTAAACTGGAGAAAATGAAATTGAAAGCAAAAATGTTTCTTGAAGTTCAGCATTTTTTTGGGATTAGTTCATATAAGTAATAAAGCCAGTAAAAATGAGGGAATACTATAATAATGGATGCTCCCTGGGACACACTCCTTCTATGGCTCTACTCAACGATCTTAACATTCTCCCATTTCAAGAGCGAGTGGCGAAACTATTAAAGGCCGAAAGGGTTTTAAGGCATTAAATGGTCTGCTGCCTAGCTACATTGCAAAGACGTTTTTAAGATTCAGCGATGTGAATTCCAGAGATCTAGAAACAAGAAACATTCATACGGACAGTGCTCATTTATGTTTAGTACTGCAAGCTCGTGCAACAGACTTCTTGAGGAGTTGAAAGACTGCACTGCCTTGACGTCTCTCGAAAACAAACTTAAGCGAATTGAAGTTTGTAAATTGTAATGGACAATCTTTAGCAATTCCTTGGTTAGTTTATCTTCAAACTTTCGCCTGAAAATCATTTGATGATAGTTTTACGACAGATTTTTGTATTATTTACTCATTTATTTTTTCTGAGGGCTATGTGTAGATTATCGAGATATATTTTAAGTGTTACTCTCAATAAAAATAGTTATGCTATTACTATTATTTTCCATGTAATCAGCCCGAAGTCACTTTTTTAATTATTACTCAGTGATGGCTAGATTACCAGAGTAGTTCCAAACCAAATATGATTACACTATTAGAGCGTATTCCCAATCCCCTACTTGTGTCTAAGTAGGCGGAGGCTTTTGCTCATTACCTTAGTGATTTGGACTGTGATTTACTTATTTGACTAACAGAAGTGCGTGTGATGTCATAGAAATAACGTTCACCATCATTTTTTACAACAAAAAGACTGATAAGCTGATCTCACAAAAAACCAAAGTGAAAAAATCATTGAAGAGCTATGAATAAGATCAAGAGCTTCTCCTTCTCTTAATTAATTCCAGTCATTGTTTGAAACAAAACGATTCCGAGAGGACATCATAACGTCGTAAAAAAGGAAACAACAACAACAGCAATAACAAAGAAAGAAAAAACCCCCACACACTAAAAAACTCCCCTACGGATTAATGGCGACCTTTTTGCTCTCACCAGCATGTTGATATCTGGTAGGATTTCTGATAAATGGAATCTGTTTGTAGGTACCAGACGGCTTGACACGAGTGGTCCTCCCGCGATCGTATTCACTGATAACTCGATAGTTACTAGTCTTAACAGTTTGCGTGTAATTACTATAGCGAGGTAAATAAAGAACTATAGGAACACTGCTTGTAGCGGCTAAGGTGTTGATTGTTTCTCACCCCTATTTTCCAAATGATTAAGGCACATACTAATTAAGGTTAACTGGCACTTAATGTATGTTGTTCAGTGCAAAAATTATTAGACAACGATTACACATGCTTTTGTCCATATTCTAAGCTTTTTGGTGAAGTAAATCCTCAACGACCTGATAAAAGCTGGTGGGGGAGTAGTTGTCAAAACGTAAACTTCGTTTTATGTTATCATTAGCAATATTTTCATGGCATTTTGATCACAACATTCATTGCGATAAGCTGGCGCGAGGAGGGAAAGTTACATCAGAAGGAAAGCTGCCTCGCGTAAGCCACGAAGATAACTGGCCTGAGTTAAAGTTAAAATGGCCGTGAATGAAGTGCTATAAGAAAGATACATTATGTGAAGCCTTCCAAGCTTCCTTGCTAACCTAAGGAGAATCATCTGCAAAGTACACACACTCCATTCTCCAGCACCGAATGAGAAAACCATAATTAATACTTTTGGAGCGTATTTCCCCTAAATAACACTCAAACTTGTAATTTTCAACTTTTACCGTGTCAACGTCTTAAGCCAAAGACACTTTTTAACAGTTTTCAAGTTATCAAATGCTAATTTTTAGCAGGATTAGGCAACACTTTTTCATCAATATAAACACTTCGTTGGATTTCAAAATAGCACTTAATGTTGGCGAGTCTGCACTTTAATTCCCCTTAACCTGCAGCCTAATATAAACGGTAATCAGATTCTATATCCTTTGTTCAGTCAAATTTCCTTCAAATAAGGCATTGCTCCTTTACTGTCACTCCTATATGTTACTCTTGTTCTAGTCAAGTCTAGTCTCGTCTACTCTTGTTCTTGTTCTAGATCTTGATTACTGTTAGCAGAGGAAATGTTGCTGCTTTCTTCGGGACGACTATCTTCACTTACGATCGACCCAGTGGCCATGGTACCAGGCACTCTCCCACTCATCAGGTTTGACCCGTACTGCCTGAAGGCATCATAAAAGTTTGCCCCGATGCTCATCCACCCAGAAACGTTTGGCCCGTCAATCGTGACCCCGACGCGTCCTAAAACACCTTTAGAACGGCTGTCCAAGTCCTCAGTCACAACTGTGCGCACATCTCCAGTTTTCAAGTCTCTGTATACTGCCAATTCAGCGCTTTCGGTAGTTTGCCACTTTCTCAACAAACGTTCGGCAATGAACTGAGGAGCTGTCCATTCTCCCACCATATTTTTCACGTCCTTTTTATCGTATGAAATATTTCCTCGGAGCAAACGAGTCTTTAAAACTAACTCTTCAGGGTTTTTTTGATGTTCTGGAAGAGATTGTGATCGAATAGAACTGGAACGTTTTGTTTTATTGTTCCCCTTGCACCAAAAAACTAAGACTTTTTCGCCGAGAATTTCTTTAATTGTAGCTGTGATGCTTTCCTCTTCACTATAAGTGAGGCTTTTTCCTCCACTGCAAAGGATTACAACAATCTTTTTCTCTGTTAAGGAAAAGACAAACTGGAAATTGGTTACTACATCATTTATTTATTTATTTATTTATGAAACTTCCCAAAAATAAAAAATAATATAATAATAACATACATATACATACATGGCAGGGTCACCACAACAAATAAACCAATTACTCTTGGCCCGAAAATTGACAAATTATCAAAAATAAAAGCAACATTAGGATTGGAAAAAGAAAGGCTAGTTGGAAAGGCTAAAAGCAGCAGGCGACGCGGCTAGTTAGAGTGCGAGCGTAGTTACATTTTAGACAAATTGTCTTCCATGTTCTGGGGTCCTCTATACATTATAGCAAGTCCGTGGGGCGGTGGCATACATGTAGTAATCCATAAGAAGTCTCTTAAACTGGGCTAAGCATAACGTATTTGATATTAACTCTGACGGAAGTGAGTACCAAATTCTTGTGACACGAATAAAAAAAGACCGCTGGTATCGAACGCTATTGTACCCTTACCAAAAAAACTTTCTTTAACCTGGAAAGTTTTTATAATAGAAAACCTTGTGAGGCAAAGAAAATATTCAAACAACATAATTAGCAGGCGGCAAACCTATTGGCCATTTACAGTTATGGCCAAAGAGTTGGTGCTACTTAAATGACTACTACAGCCAGGGTCACCGTAAGACTAGAACCTGGAATTGCCGGATTCCACGTCCAGTACTCTAACAACACGGCACGCTGCGTTCATCACTGACTGAAACAGTATATTGTGCTTATTGGAAAGCTGTTTTTCATTCTTTTTTTAGACGAAAAAACATCAGAACAGTTTAGACAAAATACCTCACAACGCTTCTTTTTACGTTAACTTTCATGTTTTTTTGTCAGGAGATAGGGCGTAACTGGGTTAACGCCTCAACGCTGTGGGTAAAACAACGAATTGTGCAGGGAAAAGGGGTGAGGAAATGTTCTTACCTACAAACTCATTGGCAGTTTTCAGTAGCTCTAGATAAACTTCACTGCTTGATTTCGTCAGCAGTTTTGTAGATTCAACAGCAATAAAACAGGATTTCACTTGCGTGCTTTGCCGGAGGAGTAAATCCTTCATAGAGCGCGGATCGTTTAAAGTGACAGGTAAGACATCACCAAACACTTCCTTTATGGTATTCATATCAGACTCGTTCCGGATTAGGATCGCTATGCTTTCCTGTGGGGGACTTGTATCCACTCCTTTGGCACGGGTACGTTTAGGTTCTGTTTTTGGCAAGGAATCCTCTGGTACAAAAATAGCAAAAGGTAGTTAAAAAACAAGAGGGAATGTATACATTTTATTTTTGGGCCGGGATGGGTCTCAAATGGTTGAAGGCAAGTTTTGTTATTTAGCCTCAAGGGTCCATCTTTAGGCCGATGATCTTCAACGTTGCAATATTGCCGGTATCGAATACCTTTTAAGACTGCGCGTCCAAATTTGTTAATTTGTTACCCGTTCCAGGGAAATCCTGCACCAATTTTCCTCCTCTTTCTTAAGGGACCTTCACTATTTTGAAAGGGCGCAGTAAAATTCCTTTTTTTATTTTTTTAAAGTAGTGTCTTTTTAAATTTACCTTGAACAGTGATTGTATGTTCAAATATAATTTCAACCAGCTTTATAATGTACCATCTTGTATAAAAATACTGTTAATTACTGACCATCATTATCATCATTATCATTATTATTATAAGTAGTAGTAGTAGTACGCTACTCTTTTTTACCATTACACATGAAATCCCTCTTACCTTGTAAGCATTGTAAATCACCTGGGCTGACAAGAACAAAGGGTACTTCTTCATCCGCCATGTCTTCGTCTTTTTCGGTACCAATCGCGTTTGCCCCGTCAGCGACTCTTTCCCGGACACTCGTCAACCCGGATTGCCCTAAGGCACCTTTAGAACGGCTTTCCAAATCCCGAACAACTGTGCCCTCTTTTCCAGTTTTGTTCTCGCGATATACTGATAATTCAGCACTGTTGATAGTTTCCCACTCTGTCAACAAATTGTCGGCCATCTTCTGAGGAGCCGTCCATCCTTCCAGCCTTACTTTCACGTCTTTTTCATCGTATGAAATCTTTCCCCGGAGCAAACGGGTCTTCAAAACTAGAGTAAACTCTTCAGGGTTTATGGAACGTTCTACATGCGTTGAGAGAGCAAGATTGCAAGCTGGAGGAGAGTGTGATCGCTTAGTTTTGTTGTCTTCCTTGCACCAAAAGACCAAGCCTCTTGTTCCGAGACGCCCTTTAATTGTAGCTGTGATGCTTTCTTCTTCACTAGGAGTAAGGCTTTTTCCTTCACTGCAAAGGATTACAACAATCTTCTTCTCTGTTAATGAAAAGACAAATTGGAAATTGGTTTACTATATTTACATGGAAAGTTTTTATAATACAAAACTTTGTGTGGCACAGCAAAATACTAGACCCAAAAATTTAACATGGTAAATAAATAGTGACAGGCCATTCACAGATCCCGCAAACGTGTCGCATGAATGTAATTGCTTTTCTACATGTAGCGTTAAAGAGATTAACTACCGTTTGGCTTTAACCATTGTATCTCTTAATGAACTGCCTCTTTTATAAGAAATAATCGGAGGTTCTTTTGCACTCTTGTATTTTCTTTGAGAGCTTTTTTCTCTGTGAGAGAATCTGACTTCCGAGAGTGTTTTATCTGTTGGGTTGTTCGGGTAGCCTCTCGCTCGAAAGCGTAAGTTGAATATTCTTATGTTTTCTACGAAAGTCTTTCTCTGAAGAGTTAGTGCTTAGTAGTCTCAGGTTTGATTATGCTCTGGAAGGTTCTACATGTTGACTGAACAAATGTGATTTTAGCCGTTTGTTTCCCACTGAGAGGTCATGGCACATATATCGATTTACTGTGGTTTTATGGTCGGCAGGATTTGCCCTCTGATGCAAGAGCATTTTGTACGACCTCAGTCTTTTAAAGCGTAAAGCTTTTTATTGCGGCTAAATAAGGGCTCTAATTTTCTCCAAAGTGCCTTATAGATCTGAATAACTAAGCGGTTTTCTCTAGTCCGTGAATGAGATGTTTTTCTGCAATGTTGTATCATGCTGGGCCCAGCTCGTAACTTCTCTTTGCAGAATGTTAAATTGTCACGGATAGTGTTTTACAGATCCAAGATTTTAAGAATGAAGTGCAGCTTAAACTGAAGCTACATCAACTGTGGAGAATTGCAGTGTGACTCAGTAAACTCCAGCCTAGTGTTTTTCTAAAGATAGACGTGTGAATCTTTTGACTGGAGCGTGTAGTTCTTCCAGTGGTAATAGCTTGTTTTGAAATAGGTTAACAGTCCTTAGACTGCTTTGTTGTTGCCACTTTGTGATCAGGCAATCTCTCTGTACTTTGGTGTTTTTCTCTGAGATTCTTAAGCAAGACCGGTTTCGTTCCTATAGCGGAACTCGTCAGTTGCTGCTATTTGGAGTAACTGAGTGGTGTTTGTGCAGGCAGTGTTTACAGGTTTTATACCAGTGTCTAACAGAGTGTTGGATCGAAAATAGCGTTCTCTGATTGGCCCAGTGAAATTGGCCAATAAGTATCTGATTTGTCGATCCTGATGTAGGTTGTGTTTCTTTGCATGTCTATTTTTCTGTTTTTTGGCCATGCGAATATTCCGTTCTCTGATTGAGAAGCGTTAGTAGGTTTCTACATGGACTGGTTGGTATTTCCCTGAAGGAGATGGTGTAGGCTCGAATATTGTAGTAGATATTGTTGAAGAACGTACATGTGTTCTGGTAGTCTTTGTCGTGGACGTGAAAGTTTCCCACGCAGCAGGAAGGGGCTCTGTCCAAAAATATCAACATGGTAAATAAATAGTGACAGGCCATTCACAGATCCCGCAAACGTGTCGCATGAATGTAATTGCTTTTCTACATGTAGCGTTAAAGAGATTAACTACCGTTTGGCTTTAACCATTGTATCTCTTAATGAACTGCCTCTTTTATAAGAAATAATCGGAGGTTCTTTTGCACTCTTGTATTTTCTTTGAGAGCTTTTTTCTCTGTGAGAGAATCTGACTTCCGAGAGTGTTTTATCTGTTAGGTTGTTCGGGTAGCCTCTCGCTCGAAAGCGTAAGTTGAATATTCTTATGTTTTATACGAAAGTTTTTATAATACAAAACTTTGTGTGGCACAGCAAAATACTAGACCCAAAAATTTAAATCAAACAACAGTGTTTAGAATCCTAATTAGCAGACGGCAAGCCTTTTGGCTTTTTACAATTGTGGCCAAAGAGTTGGTGGTACTAACACGACTGCACCCAGGGGTCACAGTAAGATTAGATCCTGCAACTGCCGGCCGATTGAACGTCCAGTACTCTGACAACACGCCACGTTGCGTTCAGAACTGACTGCAACAGCATACGTTTTTCGTTGATGTCATGGAAGCTTTTATTCATTCAATGTTTTTTTGAAAAAATAAATGAACATCAGAATGTGCCATCAAAGAAAGAACATCAGAACATGCCTCTCAACGCTTCAGTTTAGGTTTAATTTCATGGTTTCTGTCAGGAGATAAAACGTAAAATTTCTAAATGCATAAGAAGTAACATGGTTTTAAACCAAATTGGTTACAAATTCATACAAAGGATCTCCTGGTATAACAATGAAGTGTGCAGGGAAGGGTAGAGAAAATGTTCTTACCTATAATCCTATTCGCAGTTTTCAGGAGCTCTTGGTAAACTGTTCTGCTGGAGTTCGTCAGAAATTCCTCTTTTATTTTCGTAGATTCAACAATAACAAAACAGGATCTCACTGGCGTAAATTGCGAAAGGAGTAAATCCTTCATAGAGCATGGATCTCTCGATGTGACAAAATTAATGCTCTGTAAGACTGCATCACCAAACACTTCCATTATGGTTTTAAGATCAGACTCCTCCCGGATAAGGATCGCTATGTTTTCCCGTGGGGGACTTGTATCCATCATATCCATTGTATACTCTAGTACAAAAATAACAAAAGCTAGGTAAAACTAAGAGGGTATGGTTTTCAGTGTATGTTTTTATTTCTATGGGCCGGGATGGGTCTCAAATGGTTGAAGGGACGTTTTATTATTTGGCCTCAGGGGATCATCCTTTGGCCGATGATCTTCATCTCGTATGTGCCAGATCTGCAAATAACCTCGATCCATCTACAGCTTGTTCGCAAACTGCAGGTCCTACATTTACCCTGCACTGTGCAGTGGGTGAGAGATTTGAATCGTTCTCTCACCACGCATGGACCGCGCGTAATCTAAGGATTCCGGCCATGCCTCGAATCTTACTAAGACCAAGTGCATGCTTTTCCCCACCCAGCAGATATGTCAACCTACAACACGCTGGCCGACCGCCCACTCAATTTTACTGCTGGAAGACTTTACGCTGGCCGACCGCCCAAGCAACTTTAATGCTGGAAGAAAACCTCTGGAGAGTGTTGGCTCAACAAGTTGCTCGGGGCGTCACTGAACAATAAATAGGCCAGCATGGGGTTAGCTACTTCCGTGTACGATAAATTAGCCATGCTCCTAAAACATCAACAATGAATCAATAAACATCTTTCCTCTGTAAATGAAAAACGGAGGCGAACTATGTATTTCCCACGTGAAAAAAAAAAGATACATCCAATCAGTCGCTCAATCGCTCCTCCCCACAAAGGTTGCGGGAGGAACGTTACGTGCCGACACTAAAAACGGCTGTGTAGCGGACAAGAGAGAATGAAAATTATTCTCTCTTGGTAGCAGACTATTGCTTCGTAGGGGTGTCTGTAAAACCCGGAAAGCCCCCGGAACATCCTCAGGACACCCCTCCCCCCACGGAACGGATCCCCCCGGAATACCTTTAATTACAAAAATTAGGCAAAAAAATTACAAAACCAAAAAACCCCTAAAACATCAACAATGAATCAATAAACATCTTTCCTACGTAATGCATCAGTCAATTCCAGCTGCGCCCAGCCCCCTCCGGGCTGACTCCCGGGCATTAGCATTTTTTTTGGCTTGGATGGCAAATTCCAGGGGGGGGGGGACTCTTGAGCTTCAAATGCCCCGGAGGGGGGACGAAAAAAGAGGGCAAATGCCCCGTCTTCCATCAACAGCCCCCTCCGGGCTGACTCCCGGGCATTAGCATTTTTTTTGGCTTGGGTGGCAAATTCCAGGGGGGGGGGGACTCTTGAGCTTCAAATGCCCCGGAGTGGGGACGAAAAAAGAGGGCAAATGCCCCGTCTTCCATCAACACTGCAACATTTTTCATTGATCGCACAGTCGAGTAGTGCTATTTTAAGCATTTTAATGTGCGATTTTTTTGTTTCAACTAACGTCTTCCTTTGTAATGATAGTGCTATTCTAATTAAGACTTCAGGCCGTGACCATTCCAGTTTATGGTTTTAGTATTGCCATAAAATTATTGACACTAGAATTAATAGTGCGCTGTAAAGTTAACTGTTATGAATAGTTTTATAAATATGAAAGGACGTTCTTGAAATAACATCTAGAGAAATTTGATTCAATAACCCAAAAGACTTTGATTCACGTCGATAGCTCCCGATTTCGCTATGTAATTCTGGCTTGATAAGCAATGAGGAAATGCATGCATAAAATCGAAAACATGCCTTTATAAACCTCTTCAATTTTTTCCTGTCCTTGACAGATGAGCTTGTTTTTCCAGTAAAATCCTCAGTGTAGTTATATTCTGATAGGAAACCGCGTGCGTGTCAAAAGTTCGGGGTTGGCAAATGCCCGGCCCCCGGGCAGCGCAAAATTTGCAAATGCCCCACCCCCAGGATTGACAAGGCAAGCAAATGCCCAATTCTCGCTACTTCTCGACTTCTGAAGATTTTAAGAAAGTAGTCCGTTTCCTTTATACTAATACTTACTGGCTTTTTGTCTGAAATATAGCTGAAAGAGCCCTTATTGAATGAAGTAAAGAAAAGAAATAAAAGAGTTAGATTAGACCCAAGCGGATGGCCCATGAGGGATTTACAATATTTTCACTAAATATCTTCTACCAGGGCTCCTACTTTTACCCAATTTGCTGTCTACCGTGTTCGAGGAGTATCACAGTATCACTTATAAAATTCACTTATTTTAATTCTTGTCTTCTTTTCTTTGATTTTGATATTTTGGCTTTGATTAGAAAGGATAAAAGTTTTTCGTTTTAGTATTTCATTTAATCTTTGATTTCCAAAATTTATCGCGCTTGCCTTCTCAAATGGCGTTTTTGATTTTCAAGCTTCTGTAGAGTGGGTCAGCAATACTCAAGGCCAGGACGCTCAGACCTACCTCTCAGACCTGGCGGACAGAGAGGGTGTGTTCCGAGGAAGCTGCCTCAACAACCATCAGAGCAGTCGCATAAATGTTAATCTAAAACAAAAGTAACTACAGGACATCGCGCTCCAGTCCAAAGGCTCACTAATTTCAAGAAAAACGTCATACCTGAGGGGTGCACTCAAGGAAAGTTTGGGTAAAGTTTTGCCACCGAGGCCTTCATACCCAGATCCTGCTTAAGAAAAGAGACCATATATTAGGGCCCTGATTCATTTCGTTTCACATACAGGAGTAAGTAATTTTCAATCCGAATTGGATTTTTTGGTCAAAAATTGTTGGCGGTATCACAAGTATAGACTGCTTATATCCAACCTTCACATTCTTGTAAAGGATTCCGCTCCAAGACCCTGAAAACCATGCCCCGCTCAGGGGTACATTACCATCTAGGCCAAATAAGGGAGTGCCCCCCTTCCAGGAAACACCTACGGAACAACGAATTCTCCATGAAATATATAATCTCGAAAGAAAAAAAAAACAAAAATTAGCTGGGAAATCAAAATGAAACACTAAAACCAAGAGTATTTTTCTTTTTCATCAAGACAAATAACAAAGTAAAAGAAAACAAGACAAGAATCAAAATAAATGAATTCAGGCTCCTGGAGAAAAATAACGGAGCTCCACGCGCGCGCGGCGCCCCATAGCTAAGTAAATGTACCAAGAGCCATAACGGGACAGAGACGGAAACGCCTGAATCTACCAACTTTAGAAAATTTGGGAATCATGTGACCGTACACCTACAGACCGACCGCCCGAGCGACCGTCTGTCCGAACACAGGCATACCAATGTAAAATAACTCAATCAACAGGTATGGCAACCCAAATGCAACTCGAGGTTATTTTGGCGGGAATCGCATATTTACCTGAGTCTTGTAAAGCAGAGATAACTAAAGAGTCAATAAAGACGAAAACGGAAAGCGGGAAATATTTTTGTACCCGTGTTGTCTAAAGTATTAAGCTTAGATTAATTGTCATGTCCACAAATTTCGAAACAGATCAAGAGAAAGAGAAAATGAGAAAGTAGGCGGCAGCCGCAGCGAAGCTAAACCAGACAAAGGGCGTCAGAGATCTAGAGCGAGACTCGGATAAATAATAATAATAATAATAATAATAATAATAATAATAATAATAATAATAATTTAATTACTTATATTGCGAAGGTATTCATAAAAATGAACAAAGGCACATTACATTAGTAATAAAAGCATGAAAAAGAAAAAAAAAAAGCAACAACTACAAACCTATCAGTCAGTAAGCAAAACAATAAGAACATATACACTTCCATCATAAAAATCTAAAAAATCGATATATAACGATTAAAATTCATTCAGCCATAAGCAAACTTAAAAAGGTACGTCCTAAGATTGCTCTTAAAAGTATGCAAGTTTGGAATATCGCGAGGCTCACGCGGTAGAGCATTCCATAACTTGGACGCAACCACCTGGAATGATCCATCACCAATTTGTGACCTTAGTTCTCATTGACGATGCTAGCAAATTCCCACCTGACGATCTAAAGCCCCGGACGCAACAGTGAAGGGCAACAACTCCCAACATTATTGGATGTTACATGTTGCGTCCTTTTGCACACCCTGTTGCATGTTGTTGGATGTTGTTGCGCAAAGTTTGAAACCGGTCAAACTTTTCAGCCAAAAACTCCCAACATTTAATTTGTTCCGTGATCGCTGAAGCGTAGCACAACAATGTTGGATCCGTCTGCACAGCTCTTCCAACATTGTTGGAGCCACGCACGCTCATTACGCATGGATTATAAAGACTTACAAGGGTTTTTCTCGTAAAAAAATGAATAGTTTCGTGTATTTGTTTGTCGATGAAGAGAATTGTAGCTAGAGAGCTAAATAACAGCGGGAAGGGGAAAACAGAACGAGACGTAAGCTTAAGTTGTGCTTTTTATCGGAGCTACTTTGTCTTCATTTTAAGCTTCCTTATTCAAATCGGCCATTTTACTTAAATTCGTTTATTTTGAAAAAAGTTAACATTGCTTGTAATTCGTGGATTAGCTCATATCCTTACCCTCATTAACATTATTAACAAACGTTTTTACCAATAAGCTGATGCTTCGTTTTGTTTGTCATTGCGCGGTGTGTTGCGGCAAATTTTTAGTGTTTTGGAAAGATTTGAAATAAAAAGGCTGCCGGAATGATTAACTTCTCGGTATGTATATGTTGTGAGTGGTTCAATTTTATCCTTGGTTTAAATTTTATTTTCTTTTGTTTTTGGGTATGGTAATGTATCATAATCAGTTTGAAACCAAAAAAAAAAAAAATTAAACCAATGATAAAATTGAACCACATACATTATATATTCCTTTATTTAACTTTTCTCTTACCCGGTGGATCATCATGGCTAAGTTTAACATAGGTTTTATCCAATTCCTCCATGTTTTCATCTTTTCTGTTTTCCTCACTAGGGCCTGACGCGATTTCCATACTCTGAGGTGCTTCATTGTTCTTTTGAGGAAGCTGCTGTAGAACAGTTTCTTCGCGTCCCTTTTGACCAGTCTGGGCTTCAGTTTCTGTTTGAATTTTTTCAGGGGAATGTCCCTCTATCCTACTGCATTTGACATCTGCTTCAGTTTTTTCTTGAGTTTCGACTTGCTAAGTAAAAGTTAAAGACGGGGTAAACCAGTCAGTGCCGACCAAACGGGTGGGGGGGGGGGGNAACAAATGAGACAAGATTGATCGTGAGGTTACAATTATGATTGAGTTTCTATTGAATATAATGACTATCTTGCTGAAACAGTTGCTATTGCAGGGAAACCAGACGACCCAGAACTGACTTTTAGTTCCTGAAATCTCGAAAACTGGGGTGATTAATTTGCACCAGCTAAATTAAATGTTCCCAAAATCATAAATTTAAATTGTCGCGAATAAATAAACATTTTTAAAAATCGCTAAATGAAGAATTTACGGGTCTCAAAATTTCACATGTAGTAAGGCACACATACACACAGTATACCTGTTTGGGAACCACTTGAGTAACCGGTACTTCAACTCCTTTTTTTTCGGTAGTTATTACTTTTCTAGTGTTCGATTTCCATAATGCATGATTTCTCATAAAGTGTGTAATAACCCATGTTAAATAATATTAGCCACAGACCCACCCCACAAAAAACTCCCACAGTTGCTAGATAGGCCGTCCTTACTTAAATGGCGTTGAAACCAGTTCTGTTGCTATTAGTTTGATGCCTAGATTGACTGGACTAAATAGTATCTGCCAACGCAAGTCAGACAAACCTGTTTGTCCTGTTTTCGGTGTTCGACTGGAACAAATGTTTTGTTCTTTTTACAAGGATCAAAGTAATGCAGTATAGCTTCTTCGTGAATTGCTCTGTGTTGCTTGTCCCACGATAATATGAAACTTTTCCTTCCATCCAAGAACTCCTCGCTAAACTGAGAGGAAACTTGCCTTCGTGCCCAGTGTGATAAAACCGCGTCGGCGCCTTGTTCTTCTGCGTGGTTCCTGTCCCCAGTAATCACACAAATTGCTCTATCACCTGAAGCAACAGAAAGATCCCCTAATGAGCCGATCTTGAGTTATTTTTCAAAAAGTATAAACTGACTTAGGTAAAATTCTGTTTCTTTAGAGGAGGCAGTAGCAGGAAAGGTAATAAAGGTAAAGGCGTACACGAGCCAAAGGTCCCGCGGCCGGAGCTTATCCTGGCTTCCTTAGCATGAAGCGTGCTTGGGAATATTGCTACTCCCTCCTGGACGGGATGCTAGTCCATCACAGGGTTACCCCCAACAGTATGTCGCGGTACCCATTCATACACTTGGGTGAAAAGAGACAATGTTGAGTTAAGTTCCTTGGTTAAGAATAAACGCGACGGGCGAGGCTTGAACTTAAGACCCCCAGATCGGAAGTTCGAGGTGTTAACCGCTCGGCCACACACGCCTCCACAAATAGTAGGTAGTTCTGACTCATCGCTCAGCAATGACTTAGGAAAGGCCGTCAATTGCACAACGTAGAAGTCCAACTCGAGAAACAGAGCAAACGCAATGGAAAACCACCTAATAAGCATGCGCGAACTACAAACTACCTTTGGTATGGAACTAGACTTTCAAAAAAGTCCTTCGTCGAATTTAATATGGCGCGGGACGCTCGGTCGGTCGCTTCGCAGCCTAAAAAGCGAGCTCCGTTCGCCAAGAGGTCGACTTGTAGCAAGTCTAGTATGGAGCCCTCACCTTGATTAACAGATCACTAGCTCTGGGTGTGAAAAATGGTTTGAATAAAAATGGTAATTCGAAAAAACGTTTGGTAGCCATCTTGACTGAAAGAGCTATAAAGCAAACTGTAGTCGTCGTGACTACAGTTTGCTCTCCATATATTGAGGTTAGGCAACATTGACGACGATGTCAGTGAAAACGTGGCAAAAAATAATTTGGGTCCTTACAAACTTTATCACGTCTACTTGTACCCGCTCAATAGATCATTTTACATGAATTGTGGGCTTAGTGCCTTAGCCTTCGAGTGAATGTGAGGCTAAGGGTGACCTTGTTCTTATACAAAACTCCATTGTTTTCTTATGGAAATTATGCTAGTTGAAAATACTAGTAAGCATAAGAACAGCATGATTTGTAGTCGAAAGCAGGAACTTGGTTGCATCAAAACAAGGTAAACTCTAGCCTCGTTCCCACCCCTAACTGTAAAATGGCCTATCTGTCAAAAGTAGGGGATTTTTCCTGAAGTTTAATTATTTAGCAGTGTAAAACGTCGCATTAGATGGTTTTATGTCGTGGTCGTGTAGTGGATGTTACGTAAATGTACTAATTAACAATTATTCCACGAGTGCGCGTTGAATATGAGATGGTAGATAGCCGACGATAATCATCTCTTATCCGACAAGCGCGACTGGAATAATTGATTTATAAAAAACGCCCGGAGAAATATCGAGAACTCTTTCCGACTTTACTTGTAAAAACAACCGATTTTCAACATGTTCTTAATTTTGAGCAGCCCCGTTCAGTTACAGTATTTGGAGAGCATGGTATCACGGCTCATATACCATAATGGCTAAGCCAATCAGAGCTCTAGAATTGCATTATCCAATGATTCAGTTTTTTTAAAAAATCGCGTGATGCACGTGCAGAGCGGTTGTCTTTGTCGTCAACGTCAAAAAAAACAATTGTTTTTATGCGCAAAGCAACCGCTCTGCACGTGCATCACGCGATGTTTTAAAACTGAAAAAAACCTTTGCAGTAACCTGGGTCTGAGTCACCACATTTAATTTTCTCCTCACGTGAAGGAATTCTGGATTCCGGAATCCGGAATTCTGGGCTTTGGAATCCGACATACAGCTCTAGGAATCCTGAATTCGGAGTCCAAGTTCCACTAATAAAATAGAATCCGGAATCCATGGCAAGGAATCCTGATTCCAACCGTCTCAGATTCCCTTACATGGGGTGATATATTTTACAATGCAGCATAGTAAACACCTGCTTTACTCTGCTGTGTTTGTGAAACTTTCTAAATTTCGCCAGTTCCTTAATTTTTGGTTCAATTTCAAAACGAAATCAAAGGGCTCCTTTCCCGTTTTCTCACTGATTTTAGCTGGGGTATTAAACAATAATCGACCGTGGTCTTGACTCTTATCCACCATAGAAATGACTGGAAAATATTCAAAACTCAAGTAGAACCCCGAGCCTCAGGCGAGTGGTCTCAGTACAACGAAGTGCAACACCATCACCTCATTTCCATGGTGCTCTTGTCGACCACAGCTTTTGACCAATCAGCGCGCGAGAAATCACTTCGGGTTAGAGATGGTCAGCACCAAGGACGTGTAATTTTCACTCGAAGAGAGCAATGATAATATCAGTGTCGGGGCTTTGAGACGTCTTTTAGACTTGGCTGGCAGTTAATAAGAAGGTGCGATTTTTTCAGTTTTTTGTTTACTCAGAAGAAACGGTTTGATTTTATTCCCTATTGTTTACCACGCTTTTCAATACATGAATAATATGTGACATAAATTTTAATCTATGCTCTAACGAACGACTGTAAAAAATTACTTTCATTTGTACGTAGATGACTGTAGATTAAAAGATCTCTAGCGCGAAATTTGAATGTTGCCATCTCAGAAACAGGATAGCCAGTATTAATATACTAGGAGGAAAAATTACAACCAAAGCGTGTGCGATCAAACAAACTGAATTGTAAGTTCTCAGCTGCTTCTATTCGAAACCTATTTGTTAGTTTCTAACAGAAATATTAACGAGCAAGATGAGTATGTTTTGCGTAAGAATTGCTGCCACTAGGACAAGCGAGAAATAAAACACAAGGAGGCAACTGGTCAAGTCGTCTGTTCAGCACTTACCTCACACTACCACTACTGCGTCGTATGTTAAGTTCTGACTACTGTAACTCTTACCCTCCCCCTGGGTTGAAATTGCTCCTTACTTCCGTAGCACCGAAAATTCAGACTTCATCGGAGAGAAGTTATCGGAAATGTTGAGTTTCCCGCGCGTAAAAGCTATCATTTCACGTTGATCGTTTTTGTCCTTATAGAGCAATACCTATTGTTCTCGAATTCAGGTCGCTTTCATTGATACGAAAGGGTTTTGTTTGTCTCACGATTTTCGACTTTCTGGTTGAAAAGTTTACTCTGCGGGTGGTTTATATGATGCTAGACTGATTATCATCGATGGAATTGAATATTATGCGTGTTATTTTACACAGGGACAACAAACGAGTACTACATTAGACTTACCTGTGGCGTTCAATAAAGCTCTGTAAATCCTCGCGCTGTCTTCATTGATTAAAAATCGATCTTCGTTCGCATGGACGACAAACATTGCAAAATCCATTGGCAAATCGGGAATAATACTCTCACACATCTCTGTTGAGTCCGACAGGCTAAAATGATTCTTAAAAGCGAACATTTTGATTCCCAGCTTGTCTTTTATGCAGGAAAGTAATTTTTCCACAACGTCCAAGTTACAATTGTCATTGCTACTGAAAATGTAGCAAAGTTTTAGCGTTTGATTCCTTTGGACAAGCCGAACTCTATGCATTGTATCAGGCATGTCTGGGTTTTCTTTTGGAGTCTAAGCTTGGTTCACTTTCCAAGAAACGTTCAACCTCGTCCCCAGGGTCCTTTCGTATTACAATGTGGCGACGGTATGAGTCTTCACTTCCGTTGCCATATTGGAATATCAAAAGAGCCTTTATGACGTGAATTGTTTCCTTTTTAGTCAGCGGGGTCACTGACAACACCTCCCAAAAAATAATTATAGTCAGTAGTACTGATTGACTACCGCTGATTTCACTGAAAAGAATAACTTGATCGTTTTCTGTCTCACACACAAGGTGGAATTTGTTTTTCTGTCATAGGTACACGACGAGCAACAAAGTAGACCACAGGGGTGCTAGAATCCGGCAACAGCCTACTGGAAGCCAAATTATAAGGATTTGTATGGGAATTTATCGTAAGATCGAAAGTATACATATCTCATAAAGAGTTGTGTCTGTGTTGTTTTCTCACTGTTTCCTGTCATCTAAAGTTCATAAACGCCGTTTTAGCTAGTTTTGATGTTTTGGTTTCTCGACTACTAAGAAGAAGACAAGTGAAAACTTGGAAAACTCGGCTTTAATACGCTGCCTGAAGAAACTGAGGTGCAAAAATTACCTTTTTTCTACTCCAATACCTCCAAATCATCGCTTGAGCAAACACCGAAGATTTTCCATCCTTGAAAACGTCAATTTAATTCCAAAAATCGAGCCATGGCCACAAGAGGACGAAAAATAAAGCTAAAAAATTTGAACTTAGCGCTTCCGTTGAACCGCTCTTCTTCGTGGTGAACTACCGATTGGCTAAGTAGCCACACCACACGTTCAAAATCCCCTCGACGGGGATTCGTGTTTTTCCCGCCTCTTCTTTGTAAAATGAGCGAAGAATTCAACGGATTATTACTTTATAGCTAGATTACCAGTAATTGCAATAATTCCAAACCAAATATGATTACATTATTAGAGCGTCTTTCCAGTCCCCTACTTAGTAAGCGGAGGTTTTTGCCCATTACCTGATTTGGACAATGATTTACTTATTTCACTGACAACAAGAAGACTGATAAGCAGATCCCACCAGAATCTAAAGTGATGAAATCATTACACAACTATGAACAAGATCAAGTGCTACGAAACTACTTTCTTATGAAACAAAACGATTCCGTGCTTGTTTGTAGATCCGATCTATGTTATGATAGAGGACGTCACAGAGCGGGACCTACCGCGGTAAATTACTGATGATTAATTGCGACCTTTTTCCTCTCACCAGCATGTTGATATCAGGTGGGATCTATTTGTAAGGTAAGAGATGCCTGACACGAGCGATCCCTCTGCGACCGTTTTTATTAACTCGATGGTTCATAGTGTTTGTGAAATTACTGTAACGATGTAAATAAAGAACTAAGAGCTCTTCTTTATTTTAACTTTGGTGTTCATTCTCTTCTGACGAATTTTAACTGGCACTTAATGCATGTAAATTTACACTTGTTCAGGGTAAGAAATATTAAACCGATTACACATATTTTCTCTACATTTTTAGCTGTTTGGTCAAGTAAATCCTCAACGACCTGATAAAAGGTGAAAGAGCTTTTTATTTCCATGGCATTTTGATCGCAATTTTTCTGATTCCCCGAAATGACACTCAAACTTGAAGAAGGAGCTTTTAATTTTCAAGCTTTACCGACTCAACTTCTTTTTCTACCCAGCGCCAGCCTAAGCCAAAGCCATGGACTTAGTTCCCAGTTTTTTATGTTAATTAATATAACCACTTCTTTGGACTTTAAAAAATTCAGCACTTAAAAATTATGTTCGCGAGTCTGCACTTTAATTTCACTCGCGCTTAAGCCATGTAAACAGTAATGTAAGTATCCTTTATTCTGTCAAATTTCTTTCAAATAAGTAGACTACGTGAAGTTGTTCACAACGGTTATTGCTCATTTACTGTCACTCCCATACACGTTCCTCTTGTTCTAGTCAGGGGGGATATCTTTATCACTGTCAGCAGAGGGGATGTTGCCGCTTCCGTCGGGAGGACCATCACCAGTTACGAACGACCCGGTGGCCTCGATACCAGGCCCGCTTCCCCCGATCAGGTTTGACCCGACCTGCGCGATGGCACCCAAAACGTTAGCCCCGACGCTCATCCACCCAGAATCGTTCCCACTCTTTGCGTCTGCCCCGACCTCTGTAAAACGCGTGTCGCCGGCCCCAATGGTGTTTGTCCCTTCAGTCACTCTTTCCCTGACACAGCTCGGCAGCGGGACGCGCTCTAAAGCACCTTTAACACTTTCACCCAGTCCTCTTACTCGGCTTTCCTCAGTCACCACTGTGCGCTCATCTCCAGTTTTGTTCTCGCGGTATACTGACAATTCAACGTTGCTGATTTTGTGCCACTCTCTGAACAAATTTTTGACCATCTTCTGAGGAGCCGTCCATCCTTCCTGTTTTACTTTGACATCTTTTTCATCGTATGAAATGTTTCCAAGGCGTAATCGGGTCTTAAAAACTAAAGTAAACTCTTCAGGGTTTAGGGGACGTTCTACATGCGTTGAGGGAACACGATTGCTAGCTGGAAGAGAGTGTGATCGACTCAAACTTGATCGCTTAGTTTTGTTGTTTCCCTTCCACAAAAAGACTAAGCCTTTTTCGCCGAGAAGCTCTTTAATTGTGGCTGTGATGCTTCCTTCTTCACTAGGGGTAAGGCTTTGTCCTTCACTGCAAAGGATTACAACAATCTTCTTCTCTGTTAACGAAAAGACAAATCGGAAATTGGTTTACTTTACTTACTCACGAAAGTTTTTAAAATACAAAACCTTGTGAGGCATCGCAAATATCTAAAACCAAAAACTTAAATTAAACATAACAGTGTCAAGAATCCTAATTAGGAAGGGGCAAACCTTTTGGTGTGGCCAAAGAGTTGGTGCTGCTAAGAAACGACTCCACCCAGGGGTCACAGTGAGATTAGATCTTGAAACTGCAAGATTGAAAGTCCAGCACTCTGACAATACGGCACGTTGCGTTCAGAACTAACTGAAACAGCATACTTTTTTTGATGTCATGGAAGCTTTTATTCATTCATTTTTTAAAAAGAAATGAACATCAGAACATCAGGGGCACCCAACGACGGTTTCCGGCCTACATACATTAAAAACACTTTTTAGCCTATCTATCCTGAGACAGTACTTTTAGATCTCTAGAAATGTATTCTAAGCGGCGCTATAAAATTTGTATCTGTTCGGTCATCTTAGGGGAACTTGACTCTTTTCGAAATTTCAGGGGTTTGAGTATTATATTTCCAAAAATTGTAGATGCAATTTGAAGTATTACGAAAGTGACACATACTATTCTAATTTCTCCCTCCATCACACTTTTGAATCTCAAAAGTGTGTTAGCCTAATTTGGGAAGTGAAATGTGAAATTAAACTTCAGAAAATCGTAGGAGATTTTTAAGATAAGCTTCGAAAATTGTACATGAATGGAACGGTCATTTAGAAATTTTTAGCCGTCCTCAATTACTGGAAAATTCTAGGCACTATTTCCTTCTTCGAAGAGATATTTTACAAAAAACAGTCGCTGGGTGCCCCTGGAACATTCCATCAAAGAAAGAACATCTCAGGGGCACCCAACGACTGTTTTCTGTAAAATATCTGTTCGGAGAATTAAATATTGCCTAGAATTTTCTATCCCTTGAGGACGGCCAAAAAATTCTAGATGCGTTCTATTTATGTACAATTTTCGAAGCTTACCTAATAAATTCCCTGCGATTTTCTGAAGTTTAATTTTCACTTTTCACTTTCAAAGTTAGGCTATTTTTCGTAGAAAAAAGGAATGGAGAGAGGAATTAGAAAATGTCTCACTTTCGTAATACGTTAAATTGCATCTAAATTTTCGGGAAAATAATACTCAAGCCCTTATAATTTCGAAAAGACTCAGGTTCCCCCAGGATGACCGAACAGATAAAAATTTTATAGCGCCATTTAGAATGTTTTTCTACAGATCTAAAAGTACTCTGGATAGCCTAAAAAGTGTTTTCATTGTATTTATTAAAGGAATCTGTCGTTGGGTGCCCCTGACATCTGATCAGAACATGCCTAACAACGCTTCAGTTTAAGATTAATTTCATGGTTTATGTCTGGAGATAACAAGTAAAATTTCTAAATGCATGATAAGTATAACATGGTTAAAAACCATTTTGGTCACAAATTCATACAAAGGAAGCGAGGAGCGAATCTCTTGGTATAACAACGAAGTGTGCAGCGAAGAGGGAGAGGAAATGTTCTTACCTACAATCCTGTTAGCAGTTTTCAGTAGGTCTTGGTAAACTGTACTGCTTGATTTCGTCAGCGATTCCTCTTTTATTTTCGTAGATTCAACAATGATAAAACAGGATCTAACTGGCGTATTTTCCAATGAAACCTTCATATCGCGCGGATCTCTCGATATGATAGGATGAATACCCGGTAAGTCATCACCAAACACGTCCTTCATGGTATTAATATCAGACTCGTCCCTGATAAGGATCGCTATGCTTTCTATTTGTTCTACACGTGGACGTTTAGGTTCTGTTTTTTGCATGGAATCCTCTGGAACAAAAATAACAAAAGGTAGGTAAAAAAAAGATAAGAGGGTATGTATTCATTTTTTTGGGGCCGGGATGGGTCTCAAATGGTTGAAGGAAAGTTTTGTTATTTAGCCTCATGGGTCCATCCTTGGGCTGATGATGTTCAACTTGTATGCCCAAGATCTGCAGATAACCTCGATCAATCTCTCTTCCCTCGATCCATTCCCAGCTTGTTCTCAAAATGCATATGCTACCATTACCCACTGTGCAGTCAAGGAACTAGATTTAAGCACAAGGGTGAGAGATTTTAACCGTTGTCTCACCAAGCATGGGCCACAATCTAAGGATTCGAACCTTGCCTTGAATCCTTCTAAGACCAAGTGCATACTTTTTCCCACCCAGCAGATATGTCAACCTACCACAAGCTGGCCGACCGCTCACTCAACTTCACTACCGTAGGAAAACCTCTGGAGCGTGTCGGCTCAACAAGTTGCTCGGGGTGCATATCAACTATAACCTCAAATGGGAAGAGCATGGTAACGACTTGGGTACTTCCATTTACGGTACCTTGGCTATGCTTTAAGCTATAATAAAACGGGCAACAAACAAGTGCAACTTGTTTTGCAATATTGCTGCAAAACGAGTTGGAAAGCGCGCGTTTTACCTGTCTTGTAACAAATGAGGTTGTTGCAAGTTGCGACGGTGAATACAGACTTCTGATTGAATAAAATTACGCGGAAGTCATGTCACGGGAGTTACGTCATTTATTGCAAAAAAAGTTTGCCTTGGGCCGGTAAAGCGCCCAACATGTACAGATTTTGTTCCAAAAAGTAGACCTACTCTCCACTGTCTGCAACAATTTTTCGAAACGTGCAACAACCTGATTTGTTACAAGACAGGTTGATCGATGGGTGGTAAAACGTGCAACATCGCTATTCAATTCGATTCGCAGCCATGTTACAAAACAAGTTGCATGTTTTCGTTGCCCTTTTTACCGTACCTTAAGGAAACAACTTATTTCGGTCATACCAAGACTTATTTTTTCAACCACCTAGGGTAAATTTTTCTCAATCGAAAGGATTCAGTGTATCTAGTTTTCAGCTGCCATCTTACAAGTCGCACTGTAAAGGCCTTATATAATATACTGACACTAAACTGGTTACCAACGAGGGAGCAACGGGACTGTATCTACTTAAAACAGCTCATAAAGCTTTGCACTATGAGCATTGGCCAAGAAATCTAAGATTATAAGCTGTTAGCCACTGTAGATCACTAAGCTCTCGTGAGACAGTAAACACATAACAATACTGTTGGCACCGAATACCTTTGAGGACGCTGCCGCGTCAAGACCTTTTCAATTCGTGCCCTGCTCCAGGAAAATCTTGCACCGATTTTAGGCCTCGTCATGCGCGTATAAACATCTTTTTTATTTTGAAGGTGCACAGTAGAATTTTAGTGAGAGTTTACTTGTTTTTTTACTTTTTTATTATACTATCTATCTGAATTTTCCTTGAACAGTACTTTTATGTATGAAAGTGAACATGATCATTGCAGTAGAATGAACAACTTAAGAGGTTGAAAAATGAACCTGAAAAGTTTCAGGCTTGGCCGGGAATTAAACCCCGCCCTTTGCGTTTACCGGACGCAACGCTCCATCTATTAAACTAATCAAGCCAATTGGAGAGCAGGCCATTGAGAGTTTCTTATATACCCGATACAAATGGTGGAAATGACATGAACTGAATCATATTTTGAACAGCGGATAAAAGATATAAAAGCTAACGTTATCATCGCAGTCGAATGAATTTTCAGCCGGTTAATCTGTTCATCTCTACTGTGATGATCATTCATATCTTTATCCACAGTTCAAAATATGATTTATTTCATGTTTCCATTCAGTATTTGAATGTAGTAATGTACTTATTTGTACTATTTCGCACATTTACGCTTAATCCCTTTTACCTGAGCAATCAGCTTTGCTAACAAAATGAAAGGAATTTTCTACGTCCTCCATGTTTTTGTGTTTTTCGTCGTCCACGCTAAGACGTGACACAATTTCCATATCCTCTGATGCTCTTTCTTCTGTTTGAGGAAGCTGCAGTGGAGCAATTTGCTCGCGTCTTTTTTGACCCCTCTGGAGTTCTGTTTCTGGGGACTGTCCCTCTGTCCTTCTATGTTCGACATCGGATTCAGTTCTTTCTTGAATTTCGACTTGCTGTGTAAAAATTAAAGACAGTAGCTGATACAAATGGCAAAAACGTTAGTACTAAGCAAACTAGCGTGTAAGTAACTGATCGAGTAGACTGCTAGCGGTCCTTTCTCAGACAGTGAAAGGGAATCTTTTCACTGCGAGACAGGAGTGAGCGAACTAAAGGGTGCATATTATGCACGTCTTCCTATGTCTGAGCCCTTGTTCGCTTGCTCGTAATACTTTCTTCCGGCTAATTTTTCCAAGGGAATGAGTGAGCGCGTGTCAGGAGTATAAGCTTCACTAACGTGCCAATTGTGTCCTTCTAGCGTACCAAGGAGTACGTTAATATTGTGATATACCTCAGTCTAATCCATACTCACAGAAAAAAAAATTCCCACAAAGTTTAATATAAAAGTTATATTATATAGCGCTCGAAAAACGTGAATTTCAGCTTGTCCTTTGGGCAGGCACCTCTCGTAATTTGTTTGCCTAGGACTACATCTTGCTCGTCTTAGTTGCCTGGACCCTTTCCCATTGGGCAAGTGAGCGTTTAAAGTTACTTGCCCGGCAAAAAAATGTCCTTGCCCGGACTATATCGGACGGGACTTGTTTGGAGCACTGTGTCCTCATACACATATACCTGTTTGGGGTCTTCAGAAACCGTTTCTTCTTCTTTCTTTTCGACCAGAACAAATTTCTTTTCCTTTTTATCGGGATCAAAGTAATGCAGCAGTGCTTCTTCGTGAATTGGTCTGTGTTTCTTGTTCCATGAAAATATGAAACTTTTTCTTCCATCCAAGTATTCTTCGCTGAACTGAGAAGAAATTTTTCTCCTTGCCCAACGCGACAGGAAGGAATTTTTTTCCTCAGAGGAGTCCTTGTAGCTGTCATCTCCACCGATAACAATGAGTACTTTTCCATCTATAACATATTAATAAAATAAGTTCTCATCCTTTTAAAAAGTGGGACATTAAGATTGTCGTACTACGAGTAAGGTATCGATTATCGCGAAAGCGCATTTTTAAACCAAAAGACTTGAGCACAGGTTTAACCATTTTTTTTACTTCCATTGGAATACATTTGGGGAGCAAGTGTGACGCAGTGGTAAGAGCACTCGCCTCCCACCAATGTGGCCCGGGTTTGAATCCCGAAGTCGACGCCGCATGTGAGTTGAGTTTGTTGTTGGTGCTTTCCTTTGCTCCAAGAGGTTTTTCTCCTGGTGCTCCGGAAAAAAACACCCCGGACAGTTCCAAATTCCAATTCGATCTGGAAGGGGCGGACACATTCCAACCAGTTCTTAAGAAGTGCTCCGTGTGGGTAAACAAATTACAAAAAATTCTTGCTGAACAGGTCTTATGCCTTACGTTGCCCCCTCTTAACAGGAAAACACAGCGCGAAAACCGCTCCAAATTCCAAGCCTACCCTGAACGTTTCAGGTGTCCTGATGGTGGCCGGTTGGGGCAAAGAGAATGGAGCCGCAAAAACACTGTTTGAAATCCTGAACAGGCAGATTTCAAGGCTGTACTCGCCCCTTTAGAAATGTTCGCTTGTAAATCCGAGCTGTGTGGCTGAGACCCCCTTTACACGGGTCTGAACAAATATTTGATCGGACAAAAACTTGCACGGATCCGCCTTTCGTTTACACGATACCCACAGAACCGTACATGTTTTTGAACGGTAAACAGTGCTGCAATCTGTAACAGAATTTGCAGGGTTCCGTGTAAACGGGTTGCACAGGTAAAAAATTCGTCCGTTCAAACATATGGCCGTACCCGTGTAAATGGGGAAATGGAATGGGGCGTGAAGGGTGGGAGTGACAATGACGATTCTGTATCTTGCACGGTCCATCTAATCCTTTGTGGACGGAGGGGGGCTTACAAAAGCTGACCCTACCCTAGTCAGTTTTTTCTTTGTATTTAATCAGGGTGTATGACGTGTAATACGCAACTGTCACCTGATATATGTATTGGGATCGAAAGTGAAAGCGAAACATGTTCACTGCAGTAAAATAATTATATTATATTATCGACAAGCTCTTTTCCAATAGCCATACTGCTTTTCCTTTAATAATTTCTTCTTGTGTCATAAAGTTTAGAGGTTTTTAAAATGTATATTAAACCACTGAGTTACGCAGGAACGAAGAAAACCTTTCTGTCACTACTAACATACTTCCGCCTTCTTTGAACCAAGTTTGGAAGGATATTCTATTCAAAACAGCAAAAAAGTCATCATTAAAATTCTCTGAATTTATTTATTTCTTAAGTGAGCCGTTAGATGTTAATTTTTCTTGGCAAAATTAAAACGTTTTGAAATTTCTTACCCGTTGCCCGACGCAATGCTCTGTAGATCTTTGCATATCCAATCCCAGCGTTATCTTCGTTGATGGAGAGACGAGATTCGTGTGCATGGACCACAAAGACAGCGACATCATCCACCTTGATTTGGTCTGGAATTATGTTTTCACATACCTGAGACATATCTCGAAGGACAAAGTAATGCGACTGGATTGAAAAGGCAAAGTTCAGTTTTGGTTCGACGGCCTTAAACAGCTTCTCCACCACATCAAGCTTGTAAGTTTGATCACAATTAAAGAGATGAACACATCTGATATTTGCTTGATTTTCCTCTTCGTCTGGAGTTTTCATTTCATGGTCAGCATTTGAACTAGCCTCTGACGTCCCCATTTTGTTGTTCTCAGAGAATCTATGAAGTCGGTATATTCCCCGAAAAAGCGGATGTCGTGGTTTCGCCGAAACTGGAAAGTTACATGCGTGAAGCAGTTTGTGAACAGGTCACGCAAGTCACGAAAATAGTTCAAAACTTGCTTGTTTGTTAGCGAGTATTCTTCCTAAATGATGAATAAAAAACATAAAAGAGTTAAATATTTTCTTTTTGGACTATAGGTGTGAATGGATTTTGGGAAACATCCGTCCGAAAACTCAAATGTAGGAAGAATATTTCTCGGAAAACCTTTCGTGACGTCAAAGTGTTCTGTATTCAATGGTCCGAATGAATCGACGCTTTTCTTTTGGTGAATGCGTCACTCTAGCATATTATTCCTAGTTTTAGCACCTAAAGAAATGCCTTTGAAGAGAGAAATAATCATCTAATTCCTAAGAAAACGATCATGGCACCGATCGAGCCTCCTGCGAGAGAAATAGAACAGCTTGTTGAGAGATTAATAGAGTACAGAGTTGGCGCGTACGAGCGGTTTGATGATGCCCGGGACGGGGAAATGGATGGCTTCCGTTTGAATATCGTACTGTTTGGAATGGCAGGGTCTGGAAAATCAGCCTTGATTAACACTATCTTCGAATGCTTGGAGACGGGTTCACGGCCTGCTGTAACCCAAACGACTGGAAGGGAAGGAACGAAGATTTTAGAAGCTTGTGATCTACCGAACTTTGTCACGATCTATGACACCAGGGGATTTTTTGATCTTGGCAGGATAGAGGAAGGTACAAAATCTTTCACTCCTAAATCATTTTAAATTTGGAAAATACGGTATGTGTTTTTTAATCCGGCGTGTAGAACCATTATTTTTATTTCTTAACTAAGTGGAAAAATTCATAAAGTGAAACTGATAGCGTTGATGTTTCACTAAGCGATACGTATAACGACAGCAACTGTAAAAACCTCACTTTCCTCGAAATTTTATTTTGTCCATCGTTTTTGCTATTTTGAGGATAAAACAAGAAGTTGAGAGGGATGGGGTGAGGGATGTTCTAGTAGATGCGGAGGGTGACTGTAGTTGTCTTGATTCCCGGAAGGACCCCGGAAGCAAGTCGTTTTTCAAAGCTTTATTATTTATAAGTAAAGTTGCAAGCATTAACATTAGAGTTGCTTACCATTTATGTGGGGAAACCAAAAATATATTCCATTCCGTTGGAAAGCTTCATAAAATATAAGGTTTCTCCCCACAATATACCCACACAAAATCAAGGACAAGGGGTGGTCGCTGATACAACGCGTCGTTCATACGATTTGTGCAAAAGAAGGCAAAATCTTCTCCTCAGTTATTCCAAGACTTTGAGTGTTGACCCTCTTGGGAACTGAATGGGGTCTTGGGCTGTTAACTCTGCTGCTCGACCATTTAAACTATACAGCTTTCAGTACTGGTTAAGTGATATTGGAGGAAACTTAAGTCTAAAATACTTATGTTTCGGTTGTATAGGGGAGCTGTTTCGCATTATTTATGGCATTGAGCGACCTGGAGATGATCTGACGCGAGATTACACGAGTGCTGCAAAAGCAGTAGAAGGAGGGGTCGGTGCTCACAGGCTAAAAAAAAAGCCCATTGCTGACCAAATGCATGTGATACTGTGGGTAATTAAAGCTAACGATGTTAGATTTGAAACTGGAAAGTACCAGGAGATAATCAAGTTTGTTCAACACCAGATGAGAGAACAAAGTGAGTCCTTAATATTTCTCAAACTGAGGCACATTTCCTATACAAAGGTTCTTTTTAGCGGTTAAATCGACAAAAAAAGGGTTTAACTCAATCCCTTAATCCCCCCAATGATCCCCGCGAATTTCGAATAATCCCGATCGAGAACACTAGATGCTTTTCAGAAAGGGCTATACAGAGGACCGTAGCCTGTTCCAGGCGTTCAGATTGTGGGGACAGCGCCAGGTGGCGTAAGCAGCGAGGGGGTGGAGAAGGAAGTGATGGCAAAGTTCCTGCCTCTCTCCCTCTCTCAGGCTTCTTATTTTGTCTTGCTCTTTGACTCAGCACCCCACTCTATTATCTGAACGCCTGGAACAGGCTGAAAAGCCGAGACTTCTTCATCTTATTTGAAGAGCCAGTGGGAGATAGATGGATATGTAAATTGGCACGGTCCCAGTAGCACACGAAATCCGAGTGAAATGCACTTTATTAAGGCAATGTGTAGAGAAAAAAAAAGTCTTCTTTGGACAAAACGGGTCACAGGGGGTGAGGGGGGGTGGGGGGAACGGTCTCCCAAAAAATTTTTTCGGCCATGACACATGACACATTTTTTATTTATTTGGAGTCTTATACAATAAATAGTATATCAGCTATTTCCAAATAACTAAAATTTCAAACAACAAAAAATTCCTGACCATATGGTTAATAAGTTATTAATCAATTAAGTCCTAGAGTATTTACTTTTTGCCGTCTTCTCCTTTCCTTTTATCAAAGCATTCGAATATATCTTTTGCTATTAGCCCTTCGGGCCTAAGTTTGGTCTAGAAATAAGTGGGGGGGGGGGAGCCGGGTGCCCCGGGTCCCTCCCCTGGATCCGCCACTGACATAGTTTGAGCTTTCGCATTGCCAGAAATAGTGGACATTTCGCGCCCGTGATTAATTGTCAGCGGAATCTCATTTCCAAAATGGCGGACAAAAACGATCGTAGTTAAGGAAAGCGTATCCCCTGCGATTTTTTAAATAATTTGAGCTCCGTGGATCTGTTTAACGAAGAAAAAAGCTGGAAGGAAACAGCTTGCAAGAAAATGTTAGGTTTATACTCGGCCGAGCGGCTGATAGCAACAAAACAGTACGCGGCTGTACCTTTCGTGACATTTCCGTGACATTTTCGTGACAATTTTGTTTTAAAACCAAGCCTGGTAGGCTAATCGAGGATTTTTGAATGCCTGGAACCTAGTTTATATCCCGTGAAGCATCTCTGGAGTTGTAGCAACAACCAAAATGGCGATTCGGTGAGGTTTGGAGTTGTGAAGCTTTGTCCGACCGAAATAAGTCATTCGCAACTATGGCGTCCATTACTGGACTACAGATGGAAAACTGAGGGAAATAATGCGCCTTTGGAAGTATTTTCCAGTGCAAAAATCGTCCTTTTAACGACTGTTTTGGAAACATCTTCCATCGCAGAAGTGATATCGAGTCGTGCAAATTTACTTCAGTGAAGGGTTTATCCTCTAATCGACGAGTATTTCGCATGACTTCGGCAAGATTTTAAGACAATGTATGGAGAAATGGAGCGTACAACGAGAGATAAAAGTGGCTACTTCGGGAAGTAAGTAAACCTACTTCTACTTAGCTATTTTTAACCCAGATGCGAAGGTTACACAGCACTTAACATGTTTCGAGTCGTGTACCGAACACCCGTGAGCTCATAATCGATATATTTGAAAAAGTTTCCTTTTCTCCATACATTTTCTTATACGAATTCGCAGCCATTGTGGCCTTGGTGCGCACGCGCAACCGCCATCTTGTCCCTAATTTCTGGCAATGATAAGAGAGAAATGGACGGTGGGAATTAGGGAGAGTGAGTACGAGGAGTGCGTGCGAAACATTCAGGGAGCCTTCCTGTCCCCCCTTAATTCGTCCTTTCTCCTTCCTGCAAAACGCCTGCCATGCAAGCTACATGCGACTGTCAGCCTGATGTCTAGTTTGGTTTTTGTTTTGTTTTTCTGTTTCTTTTATCATAGTTATCACGATCATTACGGTCATCACTTTTGACGATGAAGTGCGGAGTATGCCAAACCCTGGCGAACAAAGAAAAAAGTTAAAGGAAGCGGCGAGAGATGTCACTGGAAGTGAGCCGCGGAATGTCTTCATGATCGCGAACTCGATACCTGATGAAGAGTTTGATCCAGCGTACAAGTAGGAAGTGCTGAAGATGTTAGAGCGAGCTTTGAAGTGTGGAGAGCTGTCGGTCAAGATGCGACAGGCTCAGAGGGAAAGTCTCAAGAGATCCATGTCCGAGCCTCGAGGTAGAGCTGAGAAAAGCCCTGTTGAAAATACGGAGCCTCCTGACTACAAGAGCTTGCCATGATTAAAGTAAATTTTAGGCACACTTTTCCATTGGATGCTATGTTTGTTTACTTATTTAGCTATTCGAATTACTGGTTCCTTTGAGAAGAGTTGAAAGTGCTGTATCATACATTCCCGCTAAGAGATAGAAGATGAGCTGAATAAGTTGTGGGAAAAAGCTTAAGGCAATCGATGAATGAATGGGGTTAGTTTCTAAAGGAACATTGCATGTTGTTGCTCCGGTAAGGGGGGTAGATTGGTGACCGTTAGTAGTTTCATACCTTCCTGTGGAGGCCAATCTACCCTATAAATAAACTGGGAAAAAACATCTCCTAAGCACATAAGAGATAGCCCCTAGAATATGGCTTCTTGGTAGCTGGTCTCTAATTCCTTGAGGAGATAGATTCTAACGGCGGGGTGAGGTGCGAAAAAATATACGAGTCCAGGCGCCCACCAATTTCGATATATTACAATTCATTCTTCTTAGACGACATGTCTGTTTCCTTGAGACTCGCTATCGTGCTGAATTTTAATATATCAAAAGTGGCCTATTGGCCTCTGGCGATGAAGAGAAGACTAAGGTCAACAGCGAGTCTGTTTTGTCAAAGACTAGCGACATTCCAACACTGAGCATTATGTGCAACCTGCTTCATGGCTTAGTACTTATATTTTCTCAGGGTCCGAAAAATCTTTCGCGCACGTTGGCACAACAGCGATATACAGTTATTTCGAGAAAAGTTGTCGGAAAAAATGTGCACTCGACAATCCCGAAAGGTAATAATATTATGGGATATGATCAATACACTTTTCCTAACGACTGTAGCTGTCGAACCTACTTTGGTTTCTTTCCTTTAGCAATCGCGAACATAACATCGCAAACATCCCGTACCATTCTTTCAAACTTCTTTGAAGAACAGTACACTCAAACCTATCCACAATACCTTTCGGGATTGTCGTGTGCACTTTTTCCGACAACCTTTCTCGAAATACTTGTTTATAGATGTGACTGCAGGTGTAGGTGCGGTTCAGTTTCGTCAGCATATTTGTTGTTCATGACGTAGTACTCATGTTTTAGGAGGTATCTAAACCCTCTTTTTAATTCTACTACTTTTCAGTTGTTTTCTGTCTTCTATCAAGACCGCGTATTTCAGTGCGAGATATGCTGCATGGCCCGAAGATTTAACGTTATAAATATTTTGCAAGTGAACTTTTGTTTTCGGGCACGATTACCGTAACGGTGGTAAGGATAGGTGTGATTGCGGGTGTAGCTAGGGCTGCAGTTCAGTTTCGTCTGCAAATTGTTTACACTGTTATACTACTACTGTGAGAAATTTCTGCAATTTGATTAGCTTAGAGCCGTGGTATTTCAGCTTAATTTTAAATACCTTCATGTGAAAATTACAAACCTTTTGCGAGTAGTAGTATGAACAAATAATAGCATGATTTGTACGTAATATTTGGCACAAATACCACTCGTGATATTTCAAAATTGTCTCAAATTTCACTCGCCTCACGGATCGTGAAATTACGTATAACAATTTCGAAATATCACTCGTGGTATTTATGCCAAATATCACTACAAATCATGCTGTTACCTAAACTAACAATAAACCAACTTCAAATAGTGTAGGTTACACTGACTATGTAGAAAGTCGGATGAAGAACAGAATTTCCTGTTTAAGCCGGCTAGAAAGCGGGTAGTGAAAATAGTAGCAGGTGGGGATAAGACCTAATTTCATTAAAAAAAAACTTACACAAAAGGAGAATTTTTTCAATTTAATTCAATTATGTGGAAGTGCATAAGTGGCTTTAAATTTTTTCGTCTTCATAATGGCTAGAACGGAATAAAAATTAAGTTATTATCTATGCTTGCGTTTTATTGTGTTGGTTGTACCAGTGTACTGTCAATCATTTATAAAAACCCCAAGATTTCCAAAACATTTGGTCTACTGAGCAAACCAAGTATTAGATCTTATTGAGTCAATTAAAGAAAGTAAGAAGGTTATTCATTACTGAGTGAAAACGCCTCACACCAAGGTTGCCATAGCAACCTGTCACATGACCATTCGCGTTCACTTCCGGTTCAGTGCTGTTCTGGAAAAAAAGAATTATGTTGGAGATACATCGAAACAGATTAATCGAGCCCACGCTAGGCCCGGCAACAGAATCTTGTTCAGAACTAAGGCTTTGCTTCAGAGAAACACTTTTAAAAATTTTTTTGTGTACTCCGTAAAAGCGATACTGTAAAGGTGTACGGAAGATTGCCAGGGGTAAATAAAAAAAATCTTCAGCTTTCGGTTTATTGAGAAACGCGGATCGGAATAATCATGTCAGGATAAAGTCTGAAAGAACGCCCTTTGTGTTCTGGTGACGTTTTCACTGTCCTCTTGGTCGTGGTTGCTAGAGCTACCTAACAAAGAAATATTTGTAGTGGGTACGCGCTCATTCGCAGATGGCGCCTTAACATTTCCGGGAAATGCCCAATTAAATGACCACAGTCAGCTTGCAGCTATCAGGCGATCCGACCTGTCGTACCAGCAGAAAAGGTTTTATCTTTTTAACTGACAACATTTATAGTTTAGAGACAGTTGAGAAGCTTTTGCTTGAGGCAGGCGACAAATATGGCTTCAAAATCTCGGTTGATCTTCTTTGTTTTGGCCTGCAACGAATGGCTGAGGTGTGCGAAAGGACATTACCACACCTGGTAATGCATTATGCTATCTTTGTTGTTCATGCAGACGAATCTGGTCTTTCGATCAACGAAGACACCGCTGGGATTGGTTACCAGAGGCTTTACCGTGCTCTGCTTCAAAAAACAGGTGGGTTTTAATGTAGCTCGCATTGACTTCGATTGTTTCTGCGGCTAAACTTCAGAACAGTAGCATTGTATATATTTCATAAATTCAACGCAGACTCCATTTAATACCCGTCAGTAAAGAGTCTTCCAAAAATTAACGCATAGATAATGGTGATATGAAAACAGAAAATCATTTGTACGTTTTATAGAGCCACTTATGCATAAAGCACGGCGGAAGTGCTACAACAATTTTCGATATCTAACTTCTAGGTCATGTGACGGAGTGCCACGTAAAGAAATGATGGTCTGGCGCGACATTAGAAAACCGGGAGCATATCTTGGAGAGATTTCGCAATAGTGTCCAATGTTTTCATAAGATACAGTATTTAGGTGACAAGAGCGGAAGCATTTCTTGGAAAGCCTCAGCCATGACAGGTGACCACTGAAACCGGAAGCGTTTCTCAGAAAGGCGGAAGTGTTACAACACTTTCGATACCGAAAGATATTAGGTGACAAGTGCGGAAGCATTTCTTGGAAATAACACAGGCATGGAAGGTGACCACTGAAACCGGAAGCGTTTCTCAGAAAGGCGGAAGTGTTACAACACTTTCGATACCGAAAGCTATCAGGTGACAAGGGCGGAAGTATTTCTTGGAAATACCTCAGGCATGGAAGGAGACCACTGAAATCGGAAACGTTTTTCGGAAAGATTTTGTAACACTGGATTCAACATAAACTGTAGAAAATTTAGTAAACACACACCCGCGAAATTAAATGATTGATACTTTGATCGTAATAAAATAGTGGGTAGGATGTAAATAGAGCCATGATAATGAATATGTTGAAATCCTGACCTCCCCGTGAGCTAGGTTAATTTGTATCACATCAAAACTCTGTATGGAGTTATGAATATGAAGTTATATGTGAACTGCGGAGTGAATAATTATAGAGGGTCTGAATGGGGGGGGTTCACTTGTCGGTTGTCGGTTAAAATTCAGTTACTTTGTCGGTAGTCGGTTAAAATTCTCGATCTTTGTCGGTAGTCGGTTAAACTTTTCGACTTTTGTCAGTTGTCGGAAAATCTCAGTTAATAAGTAAAAACGCTTGTTAATTATTAATATTTTTTATGTATTTTCCCCAGTTTCAAGACTTTGATCCCTAAGGAAAGAGTAAAACTTGTAAGAATGCATCATTTAATTGCACTTAAACTTCATTATTATTCATTCAAAATATTTCCCCAATTCTGATTGGCTATTTAAAAAGCACAGGCATAATTCACCATAACCAGTTACTGATGACCAAATTTGGAAGAATTTTGTGTTTAACGAGGAAATGACGTCAAAAATGCAGCGTTCTACAGGTTAACGCACCGTTAACCGAGAAGACCTGGGGACGAGATTGAGTTGTTTTCTTTGTAAAAACTAAAATGGCAGACACTTTACTCGTTTCAAGAGTAAGAACATCAGCTGGAACTAGGCGAAATAATGGCTAAAAACATAGCAAAAAGAGCAAGAAGATAACTCGGAGGGCGACATCTGCTATTTGGAGAATATTTGCGGAGTTGGACAAACCTAAATGTAAACTATCGAAGATAAACTTAACATCGATGGAGGTAAGCTTGTTTTAGCCATGTTTTTAAACTAGGAATTATTTTGAATGAATAATAAAACATTTATTGAATTCGGCTCTCGGAGGGTGTTATCCGCCTCGGCCTACGGCCTCGACGGATAACACCCTCCTCGCTCTCCATAATTCTTCATAAGATACTCAGCCTCATTCATTAATTGTTAATTAATTCTTGTTTGTTTATGCAACACGATCGTTTATTTCACCATTGTTTGCCAAATGAATAGTAGTACTGATAAAATCACCAAATGCGAACTTGGTTTCCCTGTCGACTGCAGGGCACAGTAAAAAGCAATTCATTAATTAATCAATGGACTTTAGCCTTTTGTATACATAAATTATTAGCGTAAAACTGCGAGGGGTGACAAACTGCACATCCATACCTTTAATGTTTTGGCTCTAACAAGCATGACCTTAGCCATAATTTTCCT